AGGGGAAAAAACATAACAGCACAGCTCCGACAACAAACACAGATGTCTTGAGGGCTTTTTTCTCTTTAGTAAATCGTTCCACTTCTTCTCGCGGTAGTTGTTCGGTTTTCATTTTCTTGTGATGTCGACGCGTTTCTCGATATAACAACAAGTAAGAAATTGAGATGAAAAGAACACAAGAAACTAAAGTTAAAGCTACTAATACGTTTGAAAAAAGACTGTCACCTGTTATGTCTTTAAATAACTCAGAAAAAATTGGTAAAAGCCAACATACGGCCACTGCTATCTTCAATTTCTTTTTCGTCATAATAACGAAATAGTTCAAAGTGTATTTAATCGCTATGATCCTCTCGTAAGTGACCAACATCAGGTGAAGAGATGAACAGACAAGGAGACCGCGTAAAGCAGAATCATGGATATCAACAACAACGTCTTCAACGTCTTCATCATCCACTTCAAGTAACTTCAAAAACATATGCAAAATGAATGATGGCTGGACAAGTAATCCACTTACTACATCGGTTGCTGCTAAACAGGCGAGCAGGATGTTGGCATAGCTCTGAAGGGTTGGTCTTCTTTTTACTGCCATTATCACTAACACGTTGAGGAGAACGGTTAGTGGACATGTGATGCTGTTGATGATGATGTTAATGATGAAACTAACCATGACTGGAACGCTCAGTCGAAGTACATCTTCTGAGGTAATATTCGAGAATTTGATGCTCAAATTCGAGCCTGTAGGACTGGGGTCATTCATTCTAAGCCCGGATGTTCACAGTTCCAAACAAGACTATATTACAACTCTTATTTGCTGCTGCTCCGCTCAAATATATGACTCTGCACAAGATGTTCTATTGTAAGTCACTGCAGCTGAAATGCTGATAAATTATGCATGACTACCTCTTTCTTTTTCTATTTGTGATTAACGGATTACGGCTCAAGTGGGCAACAATGTCATTGATCATTTGTTGTCAGAGTTGGTAAGAATATTTCCGCAGGGTTTCAGTGGTCTTTTAATGTCGGTGAAAATTAAATGCCGTACAAATGTTTCTACTACGTGATTTCCCACAAAGCTATTGACTAACTTAAGTAGGTAATAGTTTTTAATAGTTTTTTTTTCTTCCAGTTAGTAGCACTTGATTGAGAATTTCTCTTACACGTGAATGTTGTGAAGGTGTATGTACCACATGAACAAAACATTCACTAGTGTCTCTGTTCTGACATGAAGGTGATATCTACCGGTAAAAAGCTGTTGACGTAGTTCTTAATTTATAAAATAATTGCCGGATTTCTTTTTGTTACTACAAGCCGGGAAAACCTAATTTATAGCTCTAGCAATACAGGAGGTAATTTCATGTAATCAGGGAATTTCAATATGCTCTTTACCGCGTGCAATGTAGTTAAGAATATTGAATCTAACTATTGTATCTTCAGCATTACTGATTTCTGGGGTGTTATATTGTTCGGAACGATCGCATAAAATTGTTTAACAGCAACGTAGTTTTTCCGCTTGTATTTTTTTCGTTTAATATTTGACAGTCTCTATAGGTTATTTTCTCTTGTTCTCTGTTTGCTCACTATATGTTCAAGTCTTGGTGGGAGTCATCTATTATTTACTGTGCAGTTACTCTTTTGACTTAGGTATGGATGTTGTATCTTACTGGGACATTATGGGTTTTATTTTCTTGCAGGCAGGAAAACATTTCTGCTTCAATTCAATCAATTCTTCTACGATCCACTAACAAACTTAAGGGAAAAATTTGTTATTTTTAGTGAATTTTTCCTGCGTAAGCTAAGGATCTAAAATAAACCTGTTAATTGCCATTTAGCCCTCAACTCTACTAGAAAATTCATGCAAGTGTCTCTGTTATCATAATCGAACACATTATATGGCCAGCTCCCCCAGTGGCCAATAACTGAAGCGAATGGTGGCCTGCTCGAAAGCAGATGCTACTACCACACAATCAATATAGAATTAAATCTGTTCAATTTATTTTATTTAATGAACTGTTCAAAGGAAATCTGTAATTGTTACAACTTTTATTTGTCAACTTTTATTCCATGTAAATAGTGTGAAATAAAATGAACCAATCAGTGAATTAATTGTCTTCCAGCCTACTGGACCGGATTGGCTTTGATACCCTGACATGATTCTCAAGGCCTGAGACGAAGTTTTCTTGAATTTGAAAATTAAAAATTTTAAACTTTTTTTTATAATTTTCCTCCCGCAATATAATTAATCCTTTACTTAACAGATGCTACTGATGGCTGGATGGTCACGGTTATTTTTCAGCAGCTTTACTGATAAACAGCTGCATCGTCTCGGTGCACTCTAAAATGAAGCAAAAATATTCTTGGCCAATATCAAACATTAACCTCACGGCTCTTGGTCAATAAGCCGGCTTGCAGTTTTAATATCATATAAGGTCGACTTTCGCACGTAAGAAAACTTAATTGGAAGGTTCATTTGTTTTCCAGTTAGTTTAGCCTGCGTATCTGTCGGTAAATTTTTGGTGCGGTGTTTTTTCTTTTGTGGTTCGTAAAGTAAGAGAGTCAGCGATGCGAAATTTGAATCTCGTTTGCTGTTTCGACCTCGGTTCAGCTTTCGCGCGGTTGTAACTTTAATACTTTGCCAACCACAAAAGAAAAAACGCACCAAAAACTTCCGGCTACCAGGGCAACAGTTAGTTTACTTCTACATTTCTCTACCAGCTCTAATCTTCTAATAATGCCGATGTGTTTTGCTTGGCTTATAAAAGGCCATGTCTATACCGCCGGATAGCTTTTCGTGTCAACATGAAAAGCGATTTGGTATTGTACGTATAAACACCTGTTCGCATTGCACCAAAAAGGGGCACAAAAATCCGATATGTGGCTATCGGCGAGGCGCTGCTTCTCTCCGTTACAGAAAAAGCGCCAAAATCACCGTTCCAACGTGTGACAAGAACGAATAAAGCTTTATCGTCTCTTGTGTGAATAGAAACCTTGTCCGATATGGTTTTGTGCCGGTATAGACCTTTTTATTTTCTGCATTCCGTTCCAGTGAGCTCAAACAATAGAAAATGGTTGAGGCATGGGTGGAGACTTCATGAAAATCATTGTTTTTTCATCTCTCATAGCCTCGAGTTGTTGCTTTTGATCATAAGAATGTGGGAACGGTCTTAAGACCGTTTTTACTCACATGGCCAACAGCTAAGCAAATTTGTTGCGACAAGGGAAAGAGTTTACGTAGGAAACGATTTCAATCGGCTCACAGGATTAGTTTGGAACACCATTCATTGCGAACGCCCGAGGGGTCTATTATTAACTCAAGCATCAGATGCAGACTAGTACTGAGTAAAGCATGGCCTGAGCTTAATTTGCATATAATTTTACAAACATACAATTTATAGTTGTTTTAGGTCTAGATAAAAAGTATTACTTCATTAATTAAGTAATAGTTAAAAATGATATAATCTGATTCATAAAACTTCAGAAATGATCAAAATTTTGTGAAAATCAACCAGAACCTTCCAAAATTTGGTAACATCCGAAAAATCGATAACCTTGATTTCCTGCTACGTAAGAAACAAGATATTTGTGTCAGGTGATAAGTTATTGTAAAATCCAGGAAGAGAAAACTTAAAACTGGGGTATGTGGTTCTTCTTGACCAGATAACTGAAGCACCTTTTGGGAAGCTTAAGGAACAACGACGCCGATGGCTACGAAAACGTCACTTAACACAGCTCTGACCATGGCTCTGCAATGTTCCAACACTTACACATGTACAGCTGCGAGGCGTTTAAGTTTTTGTTTTCTCTGAATAATTTGCCTGGTTGTTTTAACAACAAAGCCGATGTAGCTAATTTCACTTCCCACGTTCACCAAACTATTTTGAATAACGCAACAATTACTGCATGCAACAATAACTATAACCAATTATGTTTTCTGGAATCTTTATCAATTAAGACGTACATACCTCAACTTTACCATGGTATTAATTAAAGCTGCCAAAGAGCTTGTTTGTTTTTGCTTTAGGTTTAATTTGAATTTCAGCATTTTTGTTATACTTTCGTCCACATTCTTGTGGCAATTATAAGTTTGTTAATATTCAGTGACACCTTTCTGGCTAGCTCTCTTTATAAGTTCAGCGCTTTTCCATCTTGTATTTCACGTTTGATAATGGTCTTGAAATAAGAACCGAAATATTACGTTTATTTATTTTGTGTCAATTCTTGCTTATACTTATGTTTTAAGTTAGCAAGATATTTTTCGGAGTTGTTTTTGCATGTATTATATTTTCTTTATTTGTCGGCGGGTAAAGACAAGACAAGGCATTTGTTATCATAATTTTCTTGGCACGCAGTTACCAGAAAAACACTAGTCGAGGCGTGCCAAATTAATTCTATCACAAATCAGATATTACAGATAATAAGTAAAGAGCGAAGAAAAAGAAAAGAAGAAATACGTGTAATAAATTTTGATGGGTGGGACTCGAAGTTTACATAAGAATGACTTTCTGTGTCTTTGTGACAAATGGTAGATGTTGATATACAGTAGTCACAAGGCTTAGGTAGGTACTTCATATATGATTCCTATAGTGTACCGAGGATATTGATTCTTATAGTGTACCGCGTCTTTCTTATGGTGTACCGAGGTACTTGGCTTACTTTTGTGTCTTGGGTTGCTTGAGTGTCTTGGCCTCCTTTAGTTACTTGGCGTACCAGCCGCTGTTAGGGAAATGTTAGCCCACGCTCCTCCCCCAAAATCGAGCCTAGGTGATCACGCGCGCTTGTCAGATGAAGTAGACCATTTTAGGATGGTACACTACTTTAAAACAACCCGAGAAACTGCTGTAGGTACTATTGACTGTACAAATGTGGTCATAACTGGTTATGGTGAATTATGCGTGTGCTTTTAGCCAATCAGAATCGGGGAGATATTTTGAATGATTAATAATGAGTTTTAACTACTAGTAGTTATCAATGGGTTGCACCACTTGTATTGCTGTCGGAAATCTCAGAAATCTTAAAACAAACTGTCTCATTTCTTTTTGCCGCAAACAGTAAATAAGTGGGTTCAGAAACGAGTTTAACATTCCGGATGTACGAATGAATGGTGTAACAACATAAAACAAACTGGATTGCATTACAACAACTCCTGAAAAGTGTAAAACAAGTGAAAGAAATATGAACGCAGGGAAAAAACATAACAGAACAGCCCCAACTACGAACACTGTTGTCTTGAGAGCTTTGCTTTCTTTACGAAATCGTTCAACTTCTTCCAGAGGGATTTGTTCCTTTTTCATTCTCTTTTGATGTCGGCGCGTTTCTTGGTACAACAATAAGTATGAAATTGACATAAAAAGAACACAGGAAACTAAAGTCAAAGTTGTTAAAACGTTTGAGTAAAGTGTTTGGCCTGTTACGTGATTTACTACCTCAGATGAAACCGAAAGGAACCAAAATACAGCCACTACTACCTTAAGTTTGACTTTTGTGACAACTGCATTGTAGTGCATTGTAAATTTGATCGCTATAATCCTCTCAAAGGTTACCAACATCAGATGAAGTGACGAACAGACAAACAGGGCGCGTAAAGAAGAATTATGAAAATCCAAAACCCTGCTTCCAGCGCCTTTATCTCCGGTTCGAGATAGCTTTAGAATCATATACAGAATATCTGATGGTTGTGTCAGTAAACCAGTGGCTGTATCAGTAGCTGCTAAACAGGCCAGCAAAATGTTGGAGTTTCTTTGCAGTCTTGGTCTTCTTTTAACGGCCATTATTACCAGCACGTTCAGGAGGACAGTGAAGGGACAAATAGCGATGTTAATGATGATGTTAATGAGGAAACTAATCTGAGCTGCCATGCTTAGTTGTGTTACGTCTGTCATGACAATATCTGAAACGAATCGAATTTCGAAGATACTGGCACGATATATGTGCGAAAAGAAAGTGAGTTTTGAGCAAAATTAAGGTAACTGATGCGCTCTTCTGTCTGCACTTAGCTTTGTAAGACTCTTTGAGTAAAGAAAAGTCGTTAACAAAATTTTTATACTGTATTTGATGGTTTCTAGAACAGGTGCTTTTTTTAAGATATAAAGAGCACTGCCATTGAGGCATATCATTTCATCTCGCTTTTCAAAAACTTGGAGAGTTCCTGTCGATAAGTATCGCTCGATCTTGATGTAATGGAGTTTCAATGGCTTATATTGTTTCGCTCATCTGTACTCCATGAGACGGCATCTTTGAACAATATGCTGTTGACCTTGGTTTAAAAATTGTGAATTTCAGTATGATCGTTGTTCTGTGCTCAGTGTTTTTGACACGAAACAGACGCTTTAGAGGCTTGTTATTTTTCATCTGATCGGCTAGTTAAAATCGCAAACCTTTTACCCATAATTATGTCCCATGAAGTCAAGGCTAACTTCAGTAGACGTGGTTTCTTCTGCCAATAACTAGAACTTGATCTAGAACTTGATCTGTTGTTCAGTTTGTTCTAATCTTTGTAAACTAACAATAATAATCTTTATTGAGATGCCTTTTTCATATAAAATATGGTTTTTAAAAAGGATCTCATATGTAAACTCCATGTAACCTGTTTACCCAAGAAAACTCAAGAACCTGTTAAAGAAAGTATTTTCAGCAAATGCGTTTGCAAGTTCATGTACAGGCCTGTCACATTTAAATACTTCCCAGGAAGTCAAGTTTAACAATGGAGATGCTTTCTTCTACTAATAATTGTCGCTTGAACTACTGCCTAACTGAGTTACAACGGTTATTGTATGTTCTATTCGTCTTAACTCACCCCAGGAGCTGTTCCAAAAAAAATCCGTATTTCAAACGCGTTCGTGCGTCGCGGGTCTAATTGGAATTCGATAGTCATGATGGGAGCACCGGGAGGAAAACCTCTCAGCAATGAGGAACCAAGTGTAATTTCAACCCAGAACTAAAGTAGTATCAACTCAGGGATATAAATTCGACCCTCGTTGTTGAGAGGTGACGTACAGCTTTCACTGGGCTACCACCGGGAAGTTACTCCGGGGGCCCCATATGACAAAGGGGGGATTTCTCGTCGGAAATTTTTTATGGGATCAGTCTGGGTGTGTCGCAGCCTCTATATGACCCGTTAAAGATACCTAAAAACAAAACAAAAAAATACATTATGCTGTTTGTTTATTTCCTCGCATGTAACCTAATATTAAAAAAAAAACTTGAAAACAAAAATAACGTTTTGCCTGAAATCCACGCTTGAGACCAAAAATCGAAAGTGAGAAGATGAGTATCCCCGTGTCTTTCATATCACCCTAGGGGGTCACCCCGGCCTACTCTCCCACCTTGAAATATAAAGTTTCCCTCGCCGATTATATTAAATGTTTTTATTTCATTTAATAGTCCTTGCTCGGTGCGCGATTGTTTTGGAAAGACAGTATCTCGATAAGGGAAATTTTCCTCTACTTTCGATTTGCAAAGTTCTTTAGTTAAAAGAGTGAACCTATCCCACTCAATTACTTCCCATGAAACAATTAAAAAGGACGGCGTATTGCCAGGCTTGCGTTTAGTTTTGTTATAAAGGACGGCGGTTCCTTTTGTCGTTAAAAAGTAGATCCGATTACTTAACTTTAAAATATTCAATTAGTTGACCCATTAGGCTTTTTCAAAGAATGAATTTTTCTCCAGTGACTGGTCATATGTGTCAAACATTACATCAATTATATGACTTTTGTTCAGCTTGAAGAAAGGACAGAGCCTTTTCCAATCTATTATTTCCCACGAAACTAATTTTAACTTAGGTGAACGTTGTTGTTTCATCCGTCGACCGTCAGTAAGTTTTCCTGCCGTTTTTTTATTTATAGTGTACATAAATCTATCAGACTCCACCCAACAAACCGTCAACGATGTGATGACGGCTTTCTTTTGTTCCTAAACTGACCTCGCTAGTGAGGCGTAGTTCTTTTTTACCATCTGCGCTGAATGTTCTCAACCTTATTGCGCAGGTCTCATGTGATATCTACTAAATTTATTTCCCCTTGTTTTAAAAGTTATTATCAACATGCGTAATTGCCTTTCCAAAGCTTTCTTTTTGAGCCTGTAGCTCGTAATAGGCCCTAATAGTTTTTCTGTGGGCCTTCTTGACTTATAGCTTATAGTTTTTATTTTACATGTAGTGTGTATACAAAAACTTTCGCGCGCTCTGACTGGGGCATCCAGTGCTATTCACTGTACAAAGGATGCTGGTTCAATTGTGAATAGGTTACGTCCGTCATACATTTGAATATTACGCGTGAATTCCTTTTTGATAGTCCAAAATCACGCGTCATAACAATCTGTAGTTTATTACACCCATTTTGAAATCACTGATTTCCTTGCAATCTTTCTGGCCATCTGCAGTACGAGTTATGCACGAATCGCGCTAGTGTTTTGTTCAAAATCCCATCACTCTGATCAGCGTTGGAGTGATTTGAGGCAAATCATAAAAGGCAGTGTTAAAAAATAAAATTTATTATTCACTCAACGTAACACCCAAGTTTTACATACACCGTATCTTAATACAATTCACAGACCCTGAGCTTCTTTTTTACAACTGATATGAGTGAATTTGTGTTGCTTTAATTTTTGCCCAATTGTAGCACTGAATTTTGCTAAGCTTCAAGTTTTAACAACTATTAGTTATCAATGGGTTGCACCACTTGTATTGCTGTCGGAAATCTTAGAAATCTTAAAACAAACTGTCTCATTTCTTTTTGCCGCAAACAGTAAATAAGTGGGTTCAGAAACGAGTTTAACATTCCGGATGTACGAATGAATGGTGTAACAACATAAAACAAACTGGATTGCATTACAACAACTCCTGAAAAGTACAAAAGAACTGAAAGGAATATGAACGCAGGGAAAAAACATAACAGAACAGCCCCAACTACGAACACTGTTGTCTTGAGAGCTTTGCTTTCTTTACGAAATCGTTCAACTTCTTCCAGAGGGATTTGTTCCTTTTTCATTCTCTTTTGATGTCGGCGAGTTTCTTGGTACAACAATAAGTATGAAATCGACATAAAAAGAACACAGGAAACTAAAGTCAAAGCTGTTAAAACGTTTGAGTAAAGTGTTTGGCCTGTTACGTGATTTACTACCTCAGATGAAACCGAAAGGAACCAGAATACAGCCACTACTACCTTAAGTTTGTCTTTTGTGACAAGCGCATTGTATCGCATTGTAAATTTGATCGCTATAATCCTCTCAAAGGTTACCAACATCAGATGAAGCGAGGAACAGACAAACAGGGCGCGTAAAGAAGAATTATGAAAATCCAAAATCGTGGGTCCAGCGCCTTTATCGCCGATTCCAGATAGCTTGAGAATCATATACAGAATATCTGATGGTTGTGTCAGTAAACCAGTGGCTGTATCAGTAGCTGCTAAACAGGCCAGCAAAATGTTGGAGTTTCTTTGCAGTCTTGGTCTTCTTTTAACTGCCATTATTATCAGCACGTTCAGGAGGACAGTGAAGGGACAAATAACAATATTAATGATGATGTTTATGAGGAAACTAATCTGAGCTGGCATGCTTAGTTGTGTTACGTCGCTCATGACGATATTCAAAACGTGTTGCCAGATACTTAAGCGAAGATACTGGCACGATGTGCTACTGTGAAAAGATATTAAACTGTGCGTTCGTAGCTGTTCGTGAGTGAGCCTAAGTTAACTGATGAGTTCTTCAGTCTATCTCCACGTCTCTTCCAATAACAGGGAGTCGTCAATGATGAGCTTAAATCATATTTAATGGTCTTTGTAACAGGTGGTTTTGAAGATTAGAAAAGCGCTGCCATTCAAGAGCCATATCATATTATTTCATCTTTGCCGCTACCTGCTTTTTAAAAGTACAAAGTAACCTTTTCCGCTTAATTTTCCCACGTATGAAAGGTTTATATGAAATTGGATATGGCAGTTCCTGTCAATAAGTATCACTCCTTTTTCATAGCTTAGTTTTAATGGTTTATATTTTTTTCTCATATATACTTGACTCCATAACACTTATTGGAATAAGCTGTTGGCATCCGTTGGGTTAAAAAATTCTTAATCACTTTATGGTTGTTCTTTGCTCAATGGTTTTGACAGAAACTAAGCGCTTGAGAAGCTTGCTATTTCTGTTTCGAGGGAAATAATTGAGTATAACAGTTGTCATTAAAAACCCTTATTCCGTGCACGATAAAACAAAAATTTTCGCTGAAGAAAAACATTTTTTTCTCTTATAAGCTCCCTAGTTGTTGAAAGTACGAAACACTTTCCTAGTTCTCTGCCAGGAAATAAGGTCCGAGGTTCCTTTTGTCGTTAAGTATTCAGCAGATTACTTAAATCCGATATGTTCTGGCAATTAGTTCATCCAGTTGAGTTTTAGTCACTTAGTGGTAAAGTGTTCTATTGTAGCTAGTAAAAAGTGCAGTGCCTTTTCCACTCAGTTATTTCCCACGACGCCAAGGTTAACTTAAGTGGATGTGTTTCCTGCATCTGTTCATAAATTTTGCTGCAGTTATTTATTCTTTGGTGCGCAGTTCAAGCTATCAGATTACTTGAAGTTGTTATTTCGCGACGGTACCATCAAAATCAAATAAAATAACAATTTTTTTCTATTTCAGCACTGAAATGTAAGGCAGAAATGCCATGCTTCCCTACTCAATTATTCCCACAAAGTTAAAATAGTCTATTTTTTAAGTCTTTCCCTAAACTGACTTCCCTGCAGAGGCATTTTATTAGATCTTATTTGCGCTGAGCCTTTTCATCGTAATTTCGAGGAATCTCGTCTCATCTCTTCTAAATTGATTAACCCTTTCAATTTCCTGTTTTGAACGAGTTCATTAAGCGTACGTTCTGTGTGCTGGATGTTTTTTGAAACTACGCGGGCAAACAAATAACAACCTTAAATACGATTCCAAAGCTATTAAGATTTGTTTGATGACCGAAATAGCTAGGCAGTATAATCTCTAACGTTTTCTTAACGGGTCTCCACGCCTTTGATGCCTTTCTTTTACTTGTCATTCTAAATAACGTGTAATTCAATCTATCCATATACTGTAACTTTGTAAGAAATATTGCAAAATAAATCTGAAACTGAGTTGTTGCTTACGCCAATTGAACTGAGAGCAAACATAGTTCACTTAATAGATTTCCACGAAATGTTAGCTTTGAACCCCAGTTGTAGTTATTGGGCTTAAAAGCCAGTAGACCTTTTGCTGAAACACTTACTCATTCGTCCATGGTTAAAATAATTGGTGACATTAAATGCCACGAAAATTTCATCGTGGACAGCAATGACTGTTAACACCATGAGATGGTCTGCTATTGAACAATTTTGATTTTCGCGAGCTCAATTTCGAAGCTAAAAGACTCATTCAATACCTCATACACTCAGTATTAATTAATTTCCAATGTATTGATGTTCCCTTCCGTGTAAGTCTTCCCTTATAGGTCCTTTTTTTTTATTTATAGCATCAACCTTGTTTCATTATTTTTTAATTCTGAATCCCTTAATATTGTTATATTAAACGACGAGTAATTCAGGATAATCTGTCTAGCTGAACGGTCTCAATCGTGTCGTCCAGTTCAGTTCAAAGTATCGCAGAGTGATCAATGTGTTTTTTATGCTACGATACAGTTACCACCTACATTGAAAACACGCGATTTGTGTAAACAGCCTGGATGAAATGGTATGTAAGAACAATATTTATAGCGGTATCGCATATTTCGTAATTAGTTTACCAATTTCAGCCTTAATTCCTTCTATATGTGGGTGTGTTTACTGTACCCGTCTAAATTTTTCAAGTTACATGAAGTTTATTTACAACTGTTTTGTGTCCAGGCAGTTCTGATCTGTACAAACTGAAAAGCTAATCAGTAGTTTCCTTTTGACGCCCTTATCAAGTATCATTATGGGTGTAATCATTGCTAAAGTTACTACAGTTTTATCGAGTGGAAACTCGATATTACGAGCCCCCATATCACAAATATATAATACGAAATAACATAAAACAACAAAGTCTAAGTAGTTACTACCTTATCATTTTCAATAAATTCGCGGGTAACTTTTGGCGAGTTGTCTGCCGGGCAAACCACAAAGGTTTTGGCTCGGTATTATTGATACCATGTACGCCTTAAGATCCAGAAGGGCTTCGATCCGTGTGATTTACCCTTGAAGATTAGTTATGCCTCTTTCGTATTGATTGCCTTAAAAAATCAACAGTTAAATTCATTAAAGGATTCCAATCATTGGAATTGGGGAGCGATAAGTATACGCCATGGCATAAAATTTGGTAAGGTATAGCCGTCTAAATTCTACGTAGAATAGAACACTTTCTTAATCACACTTGTCCGTTTTTTTTAATTAAAAGTTTCATGTGGATACAAGTAAACGGACAGCATGGTTTGATGATTTCCTGGATCCTCTTCTGTCTAAAAGAACGCCGCGGCAGGTGAGGCGTAGTCGAACCGGGTTGTGAAATTGGTGTTGAGTGAGCCAGTCATATAATTATATTTATGTACATCTTCTTCATTCACTGAGCCATATACTGCTAAAGGAGTAGACTTCTATAGATTATCCTGTTTCACAAGGAAGCATTTTCCAGATGAGAATCTGCCCTGCTAATCTTCTGTTGATCTCATTGAGTGCAAGCGATAGTTTCAAGCGTTTCTCCGGGGAAAAGAACACATCCATGATGTTGTCAAGCTTTCTCACTTTACCTTTACTTTGGTTTTCATTCGACATGTGCGGTACTTTTCGCTTGCAGGATTTGTGAAGCGTAACCCTTGATTTCTCTTGGTTTGCTTTAGGACTCTTTAGGTTTTGATTTAGTATTGGCTTTTGCGACTGTGAAGTAAAAGCGATTAAAATGGACGGTAAGGGATAAGTTAATCGCATTAAATCAGAGGTTTTGTTGATTACACCATGCGTACTTCAATTTCAATTCAGTTTTATTGTTGCTGGAGTAGCCAGAAATGTGAATCAAACACGCAATTCCCAAGGGTTTGACTGATCATCCCGGTAAAAAAAAGATAATAAAAAGGGAGAGACCAAACGATGAGAAATTTCTAAAAAAATCCCTAAATATCGGTTTTGTGGCATATTTTAATGTCCTACTTTTCTCCTTGTTTTCAAGTACAAACTATTCTCACCTAGAAAATAGTACGGTTTTCTGTTCATTGCGTGAAACTAAAACCAAAACCGAGTGCTGCACAGTATGAACCACGAATGATGCAGCTTAAAGGATTCATAAGTATTCATTTATTAGCAAAGCAAATTCAAAGTTCTTTCAAGAAGAGCTTTCGTTATTAAGAGCTTCAAGTGCGGCAGGGTCCGAAATTAACTTATTAATACGGGGGCCAACTGGCGATCAAGTATAAATTTTTGGTCGCCAGGGTGCAAATTGTTGTCGCCAAAAATTCCCCCTCCCTTTTTTTGTTAAATAAAAGTTTAAACACGAATTATAAATGCATGCTGTGGACGTTTTTATGCTCAAAAATTGCACTACTTCTGCTCCCGATACCAGAAAGCAACCGTACGTGTACAAGTGAAGTCATATTTTTTTCCACAAATTGCTTTTTGGAGATATAAAGCTATTTGATCTAGAACATAGGAACAGAAAGCTGTCTGCCCATGACTGCACTGATCATATCAAACCTCTATTTTCTTCCGATAACTATTCCTACCACAAAACATAAATTCAAGCCGCCATGTTGCTCGTACCAGGCCACAACTGTGCCACATTACTCGTGCCAGTCCATAAAGTACATAACGTACTTACCGTATTTCAGCTGAAAACAACATGGCGGCTTGGAAACGTTCAACTCGTATTGATCGTAGCTGTCGATCGTAGCTGAAGATTCGTTTCACTTTTAATATTATTAAAAAATATCAGCAGGACAAAAAGTAAGACACCTGTTGGCAAATAGCTTCGAGGTTTCAATTGTTAATCAGTTTCTCCGAACGTTAAAGTCCACAATAACAGGCCCAGTTGCTCGAAGCATGGTTAGCGTTATCCAGCGTTTAATACCTTGACAACGTATTGATTTTGATACTGCTTAACCAATGGTTAAAGCTAACCATGCTTTGAGCAACTCAGCCCAGCTTTACAAGTCGCTAGCTGGCGACAAGCTATGAAATTCTGGTCGCCAGGGCTAAATTTTTAGTCGCATTGGCGACCAGGAAGGCGCAATTTCGGACTCTGTGCGGATGCAAACCCCTGGAGTATGACTTTGCTTCAGGCATGCCGTTTTCTTTTAACTCTTCCAAAAAAGTTTTTTTATTATTATTTTCAAGTGTGCGTTGGAGATGTGGCTACGCTCTATGCATCAGCGCTGACGGGGTGTTTACATAAGAAACCTCGCACCTGCTCGAGTTTCATACCGGGGTGACTTCTTGATTTCGTATCGCGTTTCATGATAACTGGGTCATTTTATATTGCGTTTATATGAAGGTGCACTTCATATCGACATATTAGGCATGCGCTGCCCGTTCCAGTCTACCGGCAGATCGACTTCACACTGAAACGAGTGGTCGTAATTTCGCTCCGGTACAACAACAGGGGTGAACTCAAGCCGGTGTGACTCGCGCCTGCATGACATTTTGTGGGACCCCCTTGGCTAATAGTGTAAGCTATTCTGAAAAGAACTTTGAACTTGCAATGCTAATAAACGTCTATCCATATATCTACTTTTCAAGTTTTATACTTTTCAAGCAACAACGTTTTTCCAATCAGGCTATCAAAGATTTTATCAAGCTCCCATTTAAAGCCTTTCCAAGAGCATCTCACCTTCTTGGCTGTATGGTCGGCCTTCACGCATCCGTTTTGCTGTCTTTCATGAAGATTACCAGATGATTGCCTCCGTGCTGTCCCCAGTCGGTATCCTGGACAACAAGACAGACTTCAAATGAATTTATATGATCGTCACAGTTGTAATAACAATGTAAGCAATTGCGAATTAACCGGAGCAAAATTTCCCGGCTTCAACGGGATTCGAACATATGGCCTCTGCGTTTGAAATCGCAAGTGCTCTACCAACTGAGCTATGAAGACCAATATATTGGCAGCTTGATTATCAAATGTGATTATCGATAAATCTACCTAATATAAAATAATACATGGGCAGCTGGCCAGTTTGTTGAGTTCATCTCAACCCGTGTAAGGAATGAGACATCTGGAATGAAGATGATGTGAGCTGGGGAAATACACATGCCCTTGAAGATATGATCGCAATGGCAATTTAAGCAATATATTTGTAAATTTATCCGAAAAAATGTCGGGACTAATCAACGGGATTCGAGACAGAATTTGTTTTGAAAAATTATCTAATGTAGATAAGAGTACCCTGTTTCTTTCGAAAATCACCAGAAAGTCTGGCGGCAAAGCAGCTAGGAAATGAGGCGAATCCTCATTGGGGTTTCATTCAATAGAAATGTAATTCTGGACTTACACATTATGGATAGTTGCGACAACACTGAGGAACAAAACCGTTAGCACAATAGCTAGCATTTCAAAAAGCATTCTTGTCAACAAGGTAAAGACATGGATCGAAAATCCTCCTCTTTGAGTCAGGTTTTGCCCAATGAGATATCAATGAAACAAGAAACAAAAGTTTTAAAGTGGAATCAAAGCTTCACTGAATGACTTTGACTGACTGACTGAATGAATCTTCGATTTAAATTCAAATCAAAGCGTCTTAATGATTTCGGTCGTTTAACTTTTAATCATTTATTGAGCGTTGAAGTTATGATCGAACTTTACTTAAACGTTGCCAATATAAAAGACAAGAATAGTTTTTCACGTATAGTATGATGACTGTCAGTAAAACGATTTACCAGAGAATCGTTTCCCGCCAATCCTGCGGGTCTCGGGTGAAAACACGTGACCACATGAGCAGGTGCGACTTGAGGCAGCGACCTATAGATGAGGTGCAAAAGGAAAGAAAAACAGCGTGATGAGTATTTTAAGCTTGTGGCCCGATAGGCCACAAAAGTTGAATCTGCATTAGCTAATGTATGTGTCTCAATTCAATTTTCGATGCCTTGGTTTTTCCCTCAGTTACAGCAAATTAAATACATCATCATCTTGATTCCTAATTTAGATAAATCAGTTCGCGTTATGTTTGAAGTTCATGTACCTTCCTAAAAATTGAGCAGGCTCTTCAGAGTTCACTCTTTACATTTATAATATCACAATTATTCAGTTGATGTCCCTACTCCCAAACAACTCCAGATTTGAACTGGACAAAACTTTTGTAACAACCCTGTACAGCAATCTATAATGCAATATTCAGAAATAAAACAGAACAATGTCATAATCAGCATTATGTAAGAGTAAATCGAACGGCCCTTTTAAGTGACACAATAGCTTAAACCTGAACAAGTAAAAACCCAAATTTCATGGACCAAAGATTGAGGCAATTTAATGCTGTTTAGAACAACTGTTTAGCTCTTTAACTCTCGTACAAAGTTTTGACGATAATCACAGCTGCTTGATATCACAATAATTTGTACAAATTACAGAAAACATACAGTCACCTACAAAGCAATTAGACTGGTGTGTCTTAAATTTTCATGCAGACCCACCTTGGTTTTACTTTCAATTAATGTTCAAGCATTTTATGTTCGTTTAGGTACAACTTGCAAAAATAAAGGCGATTGTTAATGTGTTTCAACTATCAATTTTATGGTCAAACATTTTATGTTCGTTTAGGTGCAGTTTACAAAAATGAAAGCGATTGTGGTTTGATTTAGTTATAAATGTAAATTTTTTGGTTTGAACCTTCCAGTTCAGAAAATTCAATTGACCGCAAAAATTGACCATACGAAAAATTAAGGTACAAAATTAAATGCTGAATATCGAATACTTTATCTTACTTTTTTGTCTGATCCACAAAACCAATTTACCCAACGCAACAGACAAACGTTTACATCTGTAACCTGATTCACTTCATATATCCGATCTTTATTTAATTCCAAACACTTAGATGAAAACCGGCAAAGCACTGCATCCTGCCAATTTTCATTATAATCCTGTTTGCTTCTGTTAATGTTCTGTGTAAATAGACCTCGTCACGGTTTTCGACACCATCTTGACGAGTAGGCAAACACGTGAGAAATTACAGTGTTTGTATGAGATTTTAATGTCGAATAATTTCCGTAAAACGACTCTTCTGAAAAAAATATGAACTGTAAACTAAAGCTTCACAGCAAAAGACTTTACCAACAAATTTTGGGGGCCGTTACTGTGCTTAAATTTCTCCAGAAGCTTGCTTTAGATTTTCCATATATTTGTGTGCAATTTTTCCCGGGAAATTTTTACAGACAAATGTATAGAAAATTTTTAAACAAGGTGCTAGGTCTTCTAGCGCATGTAACGCCCTCAAATTTTTTCCGTAGAATCCTTAAGAGCGAAGCTTTAGTTTACAGTTCATATATTTTTTAAAAAAGCAGTTTTACGGAAATTATTTGACATTAGATTTTCATAAAAACACTGTAATTTCTCACGGGTTTGCCTGCTGGTCAAGATGGCGTCGAAAACCGTGACAAGGTCTATTTGAGTTGTTGATAAAAGCGTAAGTACAGTCATGACAACTTTGATAAAACTCGGAGAGGTAAACCGTTTCTGTGCCGTGCTTATTTCGAGGCTGAGGGGTTCCAAGACCGTCTGGACACTAACCACCGAGCCTCGACTACCGACTTGCCCTACTTTCAACTGGTGCTGTCCCAGAAGCCAAAACGAAATAGTCTGATTTGACAATGGCTTTGGAATCAAAGATGTGTAAGAGCAATTGAAGCTGATTTGTACTATTAACGGTGTTAGGCGTTCAAGAGGAGGCACCGTACAAGCAAACTTTTAATATTTGACCGTATGAGTAAAGTGAAAACGGAAGACTGAGACGTTAATCTACTCAGAGGATCTTTCGCGCCCCTGGATTTTTGCAAACGTATGCAGAAGATCGACGCTTAATTAATGGACTTTTTTTTAGGTTGTTTTGTTAATGATGAGATTTCCCAAGCTTTCAAAAACACCTATTGTAGCCTGAATTTCAGACATTACTTCGAGTCGCTACTCCGGGTAAGCGACTCGATGCGCCATGATGTTTCAAGAAACGGAAAACAATTTGAAACAAACAAACAAATACTGAGTCAGTGAATCTTGGTGCGCTCATGATTATGCCGACAAATGTATCTTAATTTTCTTGAAAAATTAAAACCGTTGTGATCCGGATAAGTTATAGTTGAAAGCGTATTGTGTAAAGATACTGTAACATGGACTTGTTTGTCGTTTTGCCCGTTTTTTAGCCTTCCGAAATGGCGGTTTCCCTAGTCGCTACATCTGACATGGGCGGGATAGAGGTTTAGAATTCACCCTCTGCATGTAACTGCGTCGTAACTATTCAGTTTGTTTATACCAAAGTTTGTCCTGCAACAGTCACACCAAAAAACGGTGTCTCTAAATTTAAACTGGTTTGAAATTTACAGAGAAAAATAAAAGTTATTTGCTGTACTTTAACTATCGCGAGACAACCAGTGTTGCTACGATTGCGTTATGTTGTGCTTATCTCGTAACACTGTTGTTACCGACTACTACACTTCACACTGTCCAAAGGACATCAAAACATACTCTGTTTGTAAGCCAGATAATTTCATCACAGAGATCGATGATGAAAAATAAATTTTATAAAACTGTTGGCCAAACTCCGTCGCGAGAACCCTACATCACTTGGTCACGTTAGTTACAAGCACCGGTCGCACCGAAGCTGTTATGTAAAACCCATGAGTCGTAAAACTTCAAAATCTCTCTGAAGACTAAACCTCAAGAACATTTCTATTTTATCTTTGGCTTTAAATAAACTAATCTCATTTACCTTCGAACTACAAGCGATGCACAGCTTCAACATTGCTTCTGTTTTGCTCTCGAAACAGGCCAAAACTTGTTTTGTTTGTAAGGTACGTTCGTTGTCCCCGACGAGCGAAGTGATACAGCGAGCGCTCGAAGACACTTCGACCAAGGTTCGTTACGATTTGAGCGCTCTCTTGGCTCCATTCCAGAAATTGTTATTAATTAGCAATACAATGCAGCGTATTGTTGACAACCAACAACTGTGCATTCGGAAAATATGTAAATATGGATCATTTGAAATTTATTGATTTTACTTGCATTCTTTTGTGTTATTCGTAGTTTTCACATCAACAAACATGCAAATCTATTTGAAACTAGCCGTGCTTCGATTGACATGTTTCGGATACATCTTCTTACGGCAAAATGCTTTTGTTATCAAAATAATGGGCCGGCTAAGTTAGGAAAACCACTGCGTCACAGGGAATATAAACATTAATATTTTTGCATATTCACGAGGCCCGTATCTTTGGGGGAGTACGTGGGTCCCTTGTAATCTTGTCTTTTCGTGTTTGAGGAGGAAGATATAGTACGTTCCATTCGGTATTTTACTATTGTATATTGTGTGTATATTGTTTTCGTCACTGCTAAAGATTCGGAGAGCGATGTATAAGCGTTATAAAAATAGTAAATTATTATTATTATTATTATTAATTATTATTCAACCCATCTTCTGTCGTTTTTCGCCACTTTATCTGTCAGTTATTTCGCTGTTTCAAAGCCATGTTGCTTGACGGAAATTTACCCTAACACTGGTTAATTTATCGCTCAAACTTATGACTTGAGATGTGACCATTAATCAGTATTAATCGTTGCTATCCAATTCAAATCGAGGCTACTTCATCGCTGGCACATATATACTAATATAACTATCCTTACAATAAGGAGTCCGGACACATGTTTAGGCGCGACAACAAAAAGTAATTGTTTTTCTCATTTTGTGCACATCCGATTGATGAAAATAGATTTTTTGTTGGTTTCTACCTGAATATCGATTTGAAACCTAGTCGTGCTTTGCCTTGCTCAGTCGAATTTAATACGATCATTGATTTGATTACGCTTCTGTGAATAAAGAAGTCTTGTAATAAGACATGCACTGGAAAAGTTACAAGACGCGTCAGTGAAGTTGTGTAGCAGCTTTCTGAACTAAAACAACGCAGGTCCTGTTTACGATTTTATCACCCTTGATAAAACGGATAAAATCGATCTTTTAATCCATGCCGACTGAGTGACTTGTGATGTCATTAAAATTGTTTCGAGTTATCACTGGACTTCCCTTTTTTCCGATCTGGTAAAGAGGCGCTTCGGATCATACCCGAAGTATCCGCTTTTGGATAGGATCCATCTCCGTTGTGGATTTGATTTGGATGGGTGATAGGCTCCTGTTTGGATCAATAATCCGCTTGGGATTTTATAAAAGAAACGAAATATCTGTCTTCTAAATAGTAATCCGGATTTAGATTTTAGAAAAGACAGGTACCCTTTGTCACAAGAAACGTTAGAAATTTATATTGGTGTGCTGGACCCACCCCGGAAAATAAAGGCTTCTGTCCATTTCTGTGATTAACATTACATTTTCGTCAGTCACATGTAGTGGATAACGAAAATATCATTTTCGTATGGGACATCTTTGACACATAAGTTTGTCAGTATAGTCACAGATAACTTTATTTTTTTATAGACCCCGTTTACACAGGTCCAGACAAATTCAGTTACAGATTGCAGTTGACTGTTTGCCGTTAAAAAACCTGCCGGGTCTGCCGATCCGGTCATAGTGCTACACAGCCGTTTTTAGTGCGTGACGACACTATAAAAACGGCTGTGTAGCAGACTAACCTGTCACGGCCAATAGTGAACGGGTAGAGGAAGAAGACGGGAAACCTTGTGTGACAAGTGTGACAATAATTTTGTTTGAAATTACTTTTCGCCAAACTTCACTTTCCTTCAAACAGATCTTTTTGTGAAAGACCAGGAAACATTGATGTTAGTGAAGATCATGGCAAAGCACGCAAGTGATAGCCTTGTCACGTTCGTCACGCACAAGCGATATGCTGTCCTCTGCTTCCTGCCGTCCTGGGCCGAGGCGAGATTTGAATTTAGATTTGAAACCTTAAAAAAAATTTCAGTTTTATTTATTTTTTGTCTGCGAGTTGATGATTGGAAGCTCTAAAAATAACAAAGAAAATTATCCGAGTAAATGCTTTTGAACACAAGAACTGAAAAGAAACCCGGGTTAAATTTAACCGCGGGTTAAGCGCTAATCGGCCTTCGAATAACTGGGGCCTGTTGCGTAAAATTTGCGTAAACTCACTGAAAAGCACGAGCAATGGGCAACGCCATGACCCCGTTTGCACTGGTCCGCACAAATTTTTGAACGGACAAAAAATTGCTCGGATCTTCCTTTCGTTTACGGTAAATGCATGTCCGTTCAAAAATTTGTGCGAACTCGTGTAAACGGGGTCTTAACGTTGCCTATTGCTCGTGCTTGAAAATTCATAACAAGAAGCGAGTCCAAAATTAGCTTATATTTTCTTTACTGCTAATTATACCATCAACAGAATTTGCCTTTTGTGCAGTGACAAATGCTAAATAAATAACAAAGAAAGTCCAATTATAGGTGGGCAGTAATTGCCAATTACAAGTCAGAGTAATATCTGCTACCCAGCTTCCTGACGCCAATTACTTATTTTGACCTCTGAAATGCATGAAAAATTCCAATAAACAAGCCAAAGCAAACGTTGGTAATTTGTAGGTGATAATTTCAACGAACTGTATGTTTTATTCAGAGTTTTCCTAAACAAAAAGGAATTGTTTACTTTACTGTTCCTTTTCATGCAAATTTCCGTAGCACGATTTGTTTTATTAGCTTATTGACGTGCGTGCAAAGAAGAGATTTCAATTTTGTATTGGCTTTTCTTTGGTTTTACGGTTTTCTAGTTAGCCGTTGGGAATAAATTTTTGATCTGTCGTTTGACTGTTGAAAACTGAACTCTCCTAGCTATAGTATCCAGTGTGTCGCCTAAGAGCACCAAAAAAGGTCGTCAATTTTCAATGAGGAAAAGACATCGTCGAAGCAGCGGACAAATACAATCTTTCATTCAAAAAAATTCGCCTTTTCATGCAAATGATCTCTTTCTACATGAACCTGTGTAGAAAAAAAAGAGGTTTAAGTGAAAATTATTAAAGCAAAATGTCTTATGCGACAAGTTGTTTTTTACGTGTAATATTTTCGAAAAGAGTTATCTATCTTCTCTAACGCAAATTTAGTTTTCATTAATGTACAGTTTTAATGCTTCTGTAATGTGTACTGTACGAATCTGATACGCTCAAGCAGAACGGCCTAAAGGTGAACTGGTTTCGTTTCCGAAGTTCAAAAACGTTTCAATACATACGTTTACTCGGCCGTCGATTTGTTTTCAAGCGAAGAGCTTTCGATGTCATTCGTGCCATTAAAAGCCACAAATATAAATTCTTTAATCTATTTTAAGTAGCTCAAAGCTTTTCAATGTATCATCTACATCTTCCGGGTTGTCATCCTGTAAGATCTTTATCACCGCCTCAAACTGGGGACTGCACTTGACGTTTGCGCAGAGAGAGAACTTTGTGGAATCGTCAGTTATCGTGGGTAGAACAGTGTGCCTTCTTCCCATTCTGCCATTCTTTCCTCGCCACTTCATCGCCAAGCTCCGAGCTTTTACAATGGTTGAAATAGAGTACTTCTCTCCAGGGTCAGGAGGCACAGAAAGTGAGCGTCGTCTGGATTTTACGGAAGCCTGAGGTCTATCTGGTGGAGTTTCTCCACTTTTGCGTGCCCTGCTGTTCGTAGTAAATGCTCCATCCGTTAATATATCAGGCGTTCCTCCAGTTGCTTTTGGGTCGAATCGTTTGGAGGGTACCTCTGTTCTTGATTTAGTCTTTGACGGGTTCATAACGGGCTTAGCATATGATTGTGAAAACGCTGGTGAAAAATTCACCTTTTTAGAAAGATTATGATCATTCAGGTTTGAGTCTTCCCGATTCCATTTGCCAATGTCCGGAGTTTTACTTCTTTCTCGTGATTTAGGCCGGTCTTTTTTCGTTCCAGTGTATTTTTCAAGTACAAACTCATTTGCACCACTTTTGAGTCGCTTAGAAGCTTTTCCACGTGTTATTAAAGGCGTCGTGTTGTGCTTCTTTAACTCCAATACAGGATCCACGTTGGCAAATAAACGTTTGTGAGGCATGGCCATCAAACACGCACAAATCACTTCACGTTTTCGGTGACATGGCCAAACAAAACTAAGCTTAGATCGTACCTAGTGCTCCAATAACTTCGTTTTCCTTTGTGCCTTTCTGTAACAACAAAATGAAATATGTCATTTTCTCATTAACGAATAATGTTAAATTACATGGCCTTTTGTATTCGCACACCAGAAATGGCCCGTCATTGTTTTTAGGGATTGCGTCAAATTTTCTTTCTTTTCACAGAACTTAAGCGTTTCCTTTTGACAACAACATGTCAATTTCTTCAGGAAACAATACTGTTAACGTCAGCTCAAGCTCTCATTAGATCTATACGTTTCTGTCTTGTTTACTTTCCAAACCAGCAGTCATATTAAAGACTGAAAACAAACTGTAAGGTCAGTCAGACTATGTACACGTTATGAAATGAGGAAGTTAAGCTGTATTGGGGTTCAATTTGTGATACTGAAAGACATGGAAAACGACCTTCACTTAAAATTCAATTGAAAATATTACACTTTTGTACAGTACAACAAAAGCAGGATTAAGAATAGGTTAAATTGGGATTAAATAGGTGAAGAAATTATGACCATTAATATTGATTACCACAATGACTATTTATCATTCGGATTTCGTACACTTTCGGATTGGTTCGCTGGGACCAGACTGTGATAAATTTTAACTTATCATAAGTCAGTCTGCAAGAGGAAGCAGTAGGAAGAAGCCGAAACGTTTCGATGTTGTATTTCTAGCTAAGCTTGCTATGAATCAAGCCTTTGTGCGTCAAATTAATGTCACTCAGACGCTTGACATTGGCATGTACTCTCTTTTCCTAGTCTCTTGACATCACAAGTATCTTTGGTATATATCATAAATTGAAACGATCATTGCAAGCCTTAAAATGATGACTTTGTATTAAACAGGCGCTCATTTGATGCTCATGAGACCTTTCATGTACCTTCCATCGTGTTACATTTTACTGAAAGTTCTTGTAAACATTCACTTTAGTTCTTGGAGGTATTCCTATTTAGTCGGCTATTTTGTTTTTCCTATTTTGGGTACATTTTTTTTTTAATTTCCACACCTGATGCCTCTGCAGGCCCATCCGGGCTATATGCAGACTGATTTACCCACAAAATAGCAAAATCTATTTATCACAAAGTTATAACAAAAACTGTAATACCAACATCAAGGTATCACAAACAAGGCCAAAATGAAAAGTGTTCAGGGAGATGATATTGAGGCGATAAGAAACTAGATTTCTCTTAAAATATAATCCGGTGTCGCGGTCGTCTTTTACGTCAGTAGGTATTTTTAATTGGTTTTGGTTTTGCAAAACTGAAGGCAAGGAGTAAACCTGTTTAACTGTGACCACTTCGCAAGTTTACTTATGCCTCCGCGCTACTGAAAAGGTTTGCGGATTATTATTTCATATGAATTTTATATGTTGCATTTAATTTTTTATTTCAGTTAATTTTTATTTTTCCTTTGTTGCAAATCATTAGCATACATTACCTTACCCTAAAACAAAGGAAATCAAAAATTAACTGCAACATATATGAAAATGTAGATGCGTTGCTGGTCTCTGTTGCGAACAAGATTGACAGGATCTGCCCACATATCCATGAACCTACGGAATTGGCTTTGATGACCAAGTCTAGGAAATTATAGTTGAAGACAGGTGTATTAACGGGACTAAACGAAATTCTGTGGCAACATTTGCTCCTTGCCTCGCCTCCTCCAACCGCTGCTGCCGTTTACATGTATGGAATGAATACATTGTTCCTACAATCCCTCATACATCTGTAAATTTTAATCAGATCGTGAAAGTTTCTGACAACATTTTTCTTTCACGATAACAGAATTATGCTAGCCACGTGGATGAAAGTCACTGTTAATTGCGTCCTTGTTTCTGATTCATAATAGGGAACCTACGGTGACTTACCACAATGGTGACGCCAGTGTCGAAGAAAAATCCTGTAAAACTTTTTCGCGCTTAATTCAAGTTGCCCGGTTTCTTAAATAAAGGGAAATTTGGTCGGCTGAAGTGTGGGGACCGCGTCCGAATTCAGACAGAAATAATAATCGCCTTAGCGTTCCCGTTCGTAAGTAAAGTTAAAATCAGTCAGTTATTTCACGTCGTAGCTTCGCAGGGAGAGTAAGGAAACTTACAAAATAGGGTGATGCACGTGCAAACTTGTTATTTTGCTTCCCAAGGCTACTGAGTTCAAGGCGTTCCCGTTGCCGTCACCGTCGTACTTGTCTCCAGTCAGTTTACTTTTGTATCAGAATAGTAGTTAAAATCAGCTAAAATCATTTAGTGGTAGAAAACTAAAACTCACAAATGTGAATCGCTGATGGTTTCTTAGTGATAAGTGGCTTCATCTCCAGTTGTTTGTACGTGCTCTCTTCAGCAACAAGCCGAACATTTCATAAACATATTTCCAACAACAATGTGTCGTATTGTTACGGTTCAGACAAATCAGCTAACATTAACATTTTTGCGGTTTCATAACGTGAAAGCAGTTATTTGCATGCTTTAATACCTCAAGGTTGTTTACATTAACGCTCCGTATTCTGACGAAGTTCAAGCACCTAGGTTTTTGTAACATAAGCTATAGCGTGTTCTTCAGACTTCTAGGCAGTCCGAATAATTTTTATAGGAATTCATACAATTTATCAGCTCTGAACACAGTGATTTTTGTAGACTGGCAAACCTATGTTTTGACGAAAAGGCATTCCGTTGAGTTCATAGCCTCCCTAGAACGCCTGAGCTGTAACTTGTTAAGTCTTTGCTATTCCAAAGGGGGCTATCTGAACATAAGCCAATTTGCGGCTGAATTTCAGTGGTTATACGAGGGTTAACTAGAAAATCGAATGATTACCTTGGTCTCCAGACTCTCGAAACGCCTGTGGTCATCTGTGCTATAGTTAGATAAATAATTATAAATAGAACTATTGTTTTTTATTCTTTGAATTGTTTGTAATAAAATTAAAATTGTTAGTCGGTTAAGTTAAAATGTTAAGCTATTTCAAATATTCTACTGAATTAGAATCGCGCTACAGTCGAGAAAGCTCACTGGATTGCTAACGCCATGTTTGAAATGAGCTTATCAGGGTCTGATTGAGTGGGAGGTCGGCACGGGTTTGATCAGATTGGTTATTTTTCTGTTGTCACCTAAATTTTAGCTATTTATTCGGCTGTCATTCATCTGGCTGTTGATAACTGAGTGCAACTTAATCATTTCTTGTTGACCTAAATTAAGCTACAAGACATAATATCATACAATATTAATGATGATAATTGATTGCTTCTTTTTTTCAATTTTAGTGTTGACATAAAAAGAGTAATTGTTTCATAGCTGTGTGTAGGGGCAAGGTAGGTTAGGACGAAATCCCCACCCCTACTGGCTGAAAAGGTCTGAAAAGAAAATGAGTGGTCAGAGTTATTGTTGATATCGTTCGCTCATCCACAAGACTAACAGTGCGAGTCTCTTCCGATGGTCTCAATGGGGTTTGTCTTTGTTGTGGTTAACAAACCACTGAAGGATGAACAAAAAAGCAAAGCAAAACAAAGTCAAACCTCCTTCGTCCCCATTGGTTTAGGCCTCTAAGGACATTTGCGGAATGGAAAAAAAGGGCTTAAGTAGGCTCCATGAACCACAAGACAAGTAGACTGCAAAACAGTCAGTTTTTTTTTCTCAAAATCCTTAAAGGAATCGGTAAAGCGTGGCCGTAAGAGTCTTACGCGCGCGAAGCGCGCGCGCCTGACACGCCCGTAATATTAGCGTCTCTCCCCAGTCTCACTCTCTGTTTTCAGCCTCGTTCCAGACCTTTTGTTTGACTGCTCGCGCGTACTTGAATACGCAAAAATACGGACTGTTTTGCAGTCTACCAGACAAGATACGTAAAGTGGTAACAAGTAGTATAGGCTCTTTGCAGCTAGTCATTTACGTGGCTCAAAACCACCATACTGATCAGAGCAAAGGATGCATTGGGACAAGACAAACTAAAGTCTTCCATCATTCAAATGGTACGCATGTAATTTCTTTTGTTTGCCTTCGGTCCCAAGGCATCCGGCATTGCTCTACAGCATGGCGGTTTTGTACCAGGTGAATGACTAGCTCAAGGATCTAGAAGAAAAGAAAAAAAAAAAGGTTAACATTTTTACGACCAACGGTTGAAAATTTCAATTCCTTTAGGTCTAACGACTAAACTCTTCGTTTGTTTTACGGCTAACGGTTAGAATCATTGAGACCATCTCTGGAGGAGAGAGATAAGTACGATACTTCTAATAGATTGGTTCTGAAGAAGACTTTAAAAGAAATGCTGTACTAGTAAAAATATTGGCCTGAATAAAGGTGCACCGGCTTTTACCGTAGAACTAGCCTTAATTTACCTCTGTTAATCTTGTCAAGCTTGTTGACTCAAGTTCAAGGCTCGCCTTTATCTTCGTACTCTTAAAAGCTTCTTCAAGAGAACTCAAATGCAAAGTGTTTCTATTCCTTAATTATTGGAAGGATTATTAGAGAAACTTAACTGACAAGGACAGCGAATGTTGCAAACGAGTTTGTTCTTCCACTTCCGGGCAAAACATTCCCACCTGATATATAAACAGCCTATTACGCGCATACGGGCCTGGAAATCAAGGCGAAAATGGGCGCACATTGGTCAACCACAGACCTTAAAACTATAACAGGTCAAGGCGAGATTTCCTCTTTCTCAAATGTCAGTTTTGAGCATATTTCAGGCGATCTTTTCAATGGTCAATTAAAAAGCCTTAAAAACTATTGACTATTTGTAAGTCAAGGCTTTAATTTCCTGCTGTGCTCTCGTTTCTATTTTACCGTTCTCCATAACCACAATTTATTTTCAGAGGGTGACTGTAAGCCTTGTAAAAAGAAACTGTTGTGTTGTGTTATCGCACGCACTACGTAAACTGTTATTGAGTGTTATTTATACTGATACTTCTACTTAGGTTCTGGCGTTCTTGCCTGTTCTCTTTCTGAGTTAAGATTGTGAACGTTTTCAATGAAAAAGGGGGGAGCAAATTTTATAGAGGCCTCAAGGGGGCCACGGATTGATCACACACGAGGAGAAAAACGTAACAACGTCGTTCTAAGCTTACAGGTACGCAGGCGCATTTGGATAATGAAATCCGCGCGACAAATCATGACCCTAAGGATGCGTTCATATGGCACCGGACGAATTTTCGATCGGCTAAAAAACGGAACCGTTCAATATTTTCGTTCTGTTCGCACGGAACTTTATAATCGTAATGTTAAAAGTGCTTCGTGTGAACGGAACACCGAAACGCACCAAACCCCTTCTCCAGGATTTTTTTCGTTAGAAAATGGGAGGGAAAAAGCCTTGGGAACAGGGTTGCTAAACGCACGAATTTTCAACTGATCGAAAATTCGTTCAGCGCCGTGTGAACGAAGCATAAGCGTAGTTTAAAACACGCCTTGCTCCCCCAACCCCTCATAACAGGGCATAAGAGTCTCTCTTTTAACTGGGTCATAATAACTGCACACGGCGTCGTCTTCAAAACGATTTTAATACAAACATGCCCCTTAAGTATAATACGGGTGAAAAAGCTGACCAATTTCAGGGACAGATAATCGAAAATAAATACAAGTTACACACTTGTTTAAATAACAACAATAATATATTTCACAAGGGTTGCTCTTCTTGACTTACTGCTTCTGCAGTTATCTAAAAATGCAGCTTATGTACTAAAAATATTAAAATACTCGTTCTGGAATATCTACTTAAAATATGTTCGTGATGACGTCATGTCTACTTTTATCAATGCGTATGATATAGAGGTATTGAAAGTACATTTGTGTTGTTTTTCTTTTTGTTTTTAATTATGCGCCCTGGTCATAAAGCAACTGACAAGAAAACTTAAATTTCCATGATACACATTCCTGTGGGTTGCAAAAAGACACAGTCTATTCGAATCACAATAAGGAGGAGTTTGTTTTTATTGTTCCCCCCTAAGGTTGTGGCTTACACCAATGCATTGTAAGCGCTGCACTCGTTTCGATCCATACTCTGGATGCTTACACTGTATATTAAGAAGCAATCTGAAAGTAAACTGTGAAATATATGAACACCCTTGACTAAAATTTCTCTGACCTGCAGACATGTGTCTTCTACAAAAGTAGTTAAAAGTATATTATTATACACACACACGTGTCCGTCTTCGACCTTGCTTTAGCTCATCTGTGAAAAAATGCTATTTAAGCAGCATCGTCTGCGTAGACAAAATCTTGTGTATATTGAGAAATTTTGTTGCCGCAGACGGTTCATTTCTTGTCCGCTCTGGATATTCGCCTCATACGGGCATGTTGTAAGGCCTTTTCTTTGTTGCTGCTGCATAACTTACCATGCTCCCTCTCATCTCTTTGGCGACAGTCGTCCCCACAGTACCCTTGAACGTTGCATTTTGGACACCACGTAAACGCCACTTTGCCGCACAAGCAAAAATACTCACAGTTTTCTGTCAGGATGGAAATTGAGGTAAAATAAATTTGTGTAATCACAACAGGGGAAATGTAGTTGTTGTTTTTATCAGTGGGTCGCCCTGATAAAATATAATCAACTACTAATCTACGAAACAATCTATTGGAAAACTGCTGAGTCTTGACGACTTTTTCTCAGAGCTACATCAGCCAAGCTCTGTATGAAAATTATGACGATCTTTGTGTGACTTTCAGAGGATTACATCTATTTTAACTACGGGGGATTGGGAGTAAGGGGAGTGCGGACTACTCCATAAGTTTGTCCTTAAATAAAGTACCTATTTTAACTCGGGAAATGATCTCAGTGATTAAAGAAAGTTGACGTTTTCCTCCATTCGATTTCCTGTAAACCCTTTTTCATATGAGACATAAGAACCAGTTTCTTCAGTTGTGGCGGAAAAGTATTCTAAATGGCTTTTAAATTAGAATAAATGTTCAAAGTTTTTGAAGCTTCTGGCTCTGGATGATCTTCACAATCTTAAAATAATGTTGAGAAGAGAAGTCTATCGGTGATTCATTGGTGTAACTATCGGCTCTAGGCAAATCCAGTGGAAAGATTGTTGAGTCCATTTGACTGTGGTTTTCAGTGTGGTTTTGGATAAGTCAGGCTCTCAAGTCATTCACGATGCAAGAGAAGAAAAAACTTAACAGTTTAATTGCTCATGATGAGAATTATATTGACTTCAAGATTAAACTTTATTAAATCATTTTGTAAGAAAAATAACTTTCAGACGTTCTAACTTTGTGGTCAAGTTGTAAGGGCATCTGGTGATGACTGACACAAAACTGTGTAAGTTATCTTACCTGCTCCGTGGAAAACCTTCACATAAACAGTCTTTTTGTAGATCCCGGATACAATTAATTGGCTTTCTGTTCGAGGGTCAATAATCTTGAACTTGCGTGACAAAAATAGAAATTTGAGAGAACCCAGATATGTTGGTATCGCTCGGTTAATGTCTTCGCGCATCTCTTGGAGGGTACCAGACTGATTGATTTTTACCACCCCCGCCATGTGCGCAAGAACACCAATCTCGGGATTAGGGCGGATGACTTTGATTTCCATCTTACGTCGCTTTATTTGTGAATCTGTTGAAAAAAGTAATATCGTTACGTTAGTACGTAGAGAAAAGAACTTTTATTTAGAAGGAGACCTAAATTTTAAATGTTAGAAATTTGATTTCCATTTCTAGCGTTTCCCTTTCTCTTTGCCGTCTACCACACCCAACCAGAATGATCAACCAAAGGTCGGTGGACCATGCCCGTCCGGCACATGCCAACATGAAGATCCATCCGGAATTTCACTTGTGCGTGGTTCCTTATCATCTAGCTCTATTCTACCCAAAATGAGTTGCTTGTCGATAGGTCTATCGCACATTTTCCCCGGTGTTTTATGAGAATTTCATAAGCGTTCTCCAGAAAATTGTTCCCAAGACTGAGATATAGGTTAATGGCACGTTTAACCTAGTCTGTTCGTCCGTCAGTCTAAACAAAAATACACAGAGGGAACCCGAACGCTGTATTACCTAATAAAATAAGATGTATTTACCTGTATTCCTGTGTCTTTATGAGTCGTTTTGGAAGGGATTTGAATACGATCAGAGAAGGTTAACATTGCCGGTATCAAATGTTTGTTTTCTGGAGCGTCGGACGAGACAGTTACGTCTCAAGTTAACTATTAGCTCTCCTTTTGTATTGGAAACTTGAGACGTAACTTCACGTCCTATTTACGAAGCGCCAGACGAACAACCATTTGATATTAGCAATGTTAACCGTCTCTGATCGGATTCAAATCCCTTCCAAAACAACTCATAAAGACACAGGAACACAGGTAAGTACATCTTATCTTATTAGCTAATACAGCTTAAAAGCATCTAATTTTTATTAGCTAATACAGCGTTCGGGTTCCCTGTGATACACAATCAAACAAAGACTCTTCACTTTCAAGAGCACACATCGGTGCCTTAGTTATCCACCTAATAGTGCTGACAACAGAAATTCAAACACAGGAGTGACATTTTTCCAATTATTTGATGGATTAGAATTAAGAGCATAATAGTTTTCTCTTCATTAATTAGTTGAGTCAATTTCAAAGCAAGTTGTTAATTCGTTCATGAAGAATGACATAATTCAAGCGTCTAGCTGCGCGTGCTTTTACTTTAAAGTAATTAAGTCTTAATGCTTCTTGATACACAAGTATGTATCCAAACAATCTTACCTGGTGTTAAGAAACCAGGCATCGCTTCAAATGTCTGCTCAGTATCAAAATCCATGGACGATGCTCTTCGCCTCAGAGCAGCTTCTTGTCTGATACTCTCCTCCATGCCATCTGCATCGTATTCATCTTCCTGCTGAGACTCCTGAACGTCACAGGTCGGCCATAATCCAGATGGGGAGATAGGAGGGCTAACAGCAGAAGTCTCCGAAGACACCGTGTCAGGGGATTCTGAACGTTCTGATAACTCTATGCTCTTTTGACTAGATGGTCGCGGAGAGGGACTGGGACTTGGATTCTTACTTGGGACAACCGGGAATGCTAAAATAGCTTTAGGTCGGTCATTTGAACCGTCGTTTGAAGGCGTGGTTTGTCTCTGAAGAAAACGCAATAGTAAAATTAGTTTTAACTGGCCTGTCCAAAGTAAGCAGGATTTTCCCTCCTTAAGTTGGATTTGTGTTCGCCTGTTGGTACGTAACAGTATGTATAGATTAGAGGAAAGCTATGTATGATTAAATACATACTCCAGTACGATAGTGGATAGGCCTTAGGGCTGATTAATATCCTGCTGTTTTTTTTCCGTTTTCTTCGAGAACGATGCCGAGTTAGAGAAGCCGTCCCAGTTTAAAAAGTACCCGTTTTATCAAATTTTTTATAGTAAATAAGTTGCTGCGATGTATACGTACATGTAATAAGTTCTTTGTTTAATTTGTTTCCAGAATTGAGGCTATTTCTTAAACCCTTATCAGCGCTGAACTGTAAACCAAATAGAGGAGGAATTTTCGTGTTCTTGAAGAAAATGACGTTTGTGTATGTTTTTTTTAAAGGCTTTTTAAAACTATCTCTTTAATCTTCTAGCGAAAGGGTATGCACGATCATTTACGTATAAGCCAATCAATTTTTTGCTTCAAAACGAACATGACATAAAACATACCTGAGAATCCAAAAGTTGTTCTTCTTTCTCTTCAAAAGCTGGTTCTACAGGGCCTGTGAACGCTATGGGGGTTGGGCGTCTAAAGGCACTGCCATCTCGCTCTTGTAGGGAAGACCTGGATGGGCTCGCACTCATCGCTATATACCTGGTGTCTTTTTCCGGAAGGTACTTTACTTCACTATCTTCATCAGGAGTACTAGGGGGTGATGGATTAATCTTGCCCAAATTTTGTCTCCGTCGGTAAAGGCAGTAAACCACGATGACAATGATTAAAATAACAGCAAATGAGACAACACAAGCAACAATGATAATGAAAACTGGCATTCGACTCTTTTCTTCGGGTGTTTTCACTGGTACGTTATTGCCATACTCCTTTCCATCAACCAGCATCTTTGGCAAGGTAATAATTGTTGTACCATTAAAGTTTAGTTCTAATCCCTTGCTCACATCCTCCCATATTTTAGCAAGTGTCGAGTTACGTTTTGTTTCAGCTACGGTCATATTGATTTCAACGATAATGCTTCCTCTACTGGCTTTACAACTGTATATGATTACATCCGGGTACTTCACAGAAAAGGCTGTTATACAATAGCTCTCGAATTGCGCTTCTCTTCCGCTGACAATCACGACATAATCTCCTTCAAAAGTAATCACCACGATCACCACAACTGACCGTAGTTGGTTGTTACATGTGGTAGTGGACTCAGAAAACTGTAGATTGCGCTGAGGTGCGAAGTTTCTAGCTGCTTGGCTTCTTACCCAAGAAACATCTACCGCACCAGTAGACACGGGAGGTGACGCAAGGAATATAGGAACAACAAACCTCTGTCCATTAAAAGGTATGGATTGTATAATGGAAATACCGACGTTGCTAGACTCTAGCTCGGAATTCTTGGCAGCCACAAGAAACTTGCCGTTTTCATAGTTGGCCTTGATCAATCCTTGTACAGAAGAGATTCCCTCAACGCTCACTTTCGATCCAGCGGTAAACACTGTCTGACTGAATTGCTCAGCCACGGGTCCAGTCGAGTGTGAAAAGAGAAAGTATACTTCTGCTTGTGCAGATGAAGTCAAGGAACCATCTTTGTTTGATAACTCTACCGTGATTTCTAAAGCGCATTTGTCTAAAGATATTCCTTGGTGGTTCGGGATCTGGTAAGTTAGCTTTGCCACAAACTTTGCCTTATCAAGATAAATGAAAGACAAGAAAGTGGCGTCCTTGCTGTCTATTGCTTCGTCCCAGTTGACGTCCATCGACGACTTCTGAGAAGTCGACACAGCACTCATCTTTGAACCTAAAGTATCGGTGAACTGAGCCTTAGAGGAAGCAATGTACGCACTTATAAAAGCAACATCAACAATGTCAAATGTGCAATCCAAGTCGATATCACCAAAAACGTTACTGGAACAAGAAGAAGCCGCCTTAGAAGGTACAGGTGTCAAATCCTTGTCGACCGTCCTAAAAGACCGGTAGATGACTTCAGGAACACCACTTTTGAGGGACGTAAACACAACTTCGGCGATGTCCTCCGTTAGTGCCTTAGCTTCGGCTACTGACCCAAAAATGTGTATCGTGTTGTGTGCAAATGAGTATGGAAGATCAGTATTGATGCTGACCATTTGAACGTCACTGGTGTTAAACCAAATTTCCACTTGCACAGCCAAGATGCCAAGTTTTCCGGGGTTCATTCTGACGGACATTGTCCAAGGTTCGTTTGTAGCTAATGGAGGAATTGCTGGCCCTTCTTTGTCACCAATATCAACTTCACCTTGACGCGGTTCAAGGTTACAGTAGAAAGATACCACCGCTGTTATGCTTGTATTTGAAACAGCCCTGGCTGTGATGGTTATGGGAGTGCTGCTGTCTGATAGAAGAGTCACAACGCCGGAATCTGGGTTCACTGAGGCTACGGCGGCATCGCTAGAGGTGAAAGTGAGGAGCCCATTGTACATAGTGAAGTTGTCTAAGAGATGGATGGACCCGTCTTCCATTTGCAATTCAGCAAATGGCTGCACTTTTGTGACCACAGTTACACCACTTAAGGTAGTGTTGACGTTCTTCAAACCAAAACGATTTATTGTTACCAGTTTAAGGAGTGTCGAAGACAGTGTCAGATTAACGCTTGCTGAAAGACTTTGAGCAAAGACTGCTTGCAGAGATACACTACCGCTCAGACCGTGTCCGAGGACTGTAAAAAGATTGCGTGGCGCAGGTCCAATCTCGTACGTTCCGCCAACTTGCTGGGCATTTGTAAACACAAATGAAGTATTTAATGAAAGGGAAACGTCTACCTGGTCACCATTTGTCAAGTTAAGAAGTATTTTGAGCAAAACCCGCTGAAAATGCCCGGCGATAACTTGCTTCAGCTCGGCAACCTCGTTGGTACCGGGAATCTCAGGATACGATACAGCCTTCATGGAAAGTCTAATGCTGCCGATCACGGTGACATTGACCTCGATGGTCTTCACGTTTGTTACATGAACAAGCAGCTTTCCTGATCCGGACAAGCCGTTATTATTAGCAACCACGAATGGTAAGCTATCAGTGACCACAACACTGAAAAGGCTGTTAGATTTGGAAACGTCATCTAATATGTAACGATGTGATTCGTTAGTTATGTCCATGGTAGTTCCGTTTGTGTACAACAGACGTATTTCCAAAGCCGACCTACTTGTGATACCAGCTAAGCCTGCCGGATTTGCTGGCGAGGCGATATACGTCTGTAACATTTCCACTTCTGCTGTGTAGGGAAGGCTGTCTTCAACGTTAATAACTCGTACTTCCAGGTGAGCTGTGGTGTGTTTTCTATCATTCGCGTTTGCACTGTTGTCGGATATGGAGATAACCAAGTTATGCTGACTGATTGTCTCGAAGTCTAACTGTTTTGCCAAAGTTATAACACCTGACAAAAGAAGGAGAAGACCGCATTTTCAGTAATGATGTGGAATTCTTTGTTTGTAGATATTTTACATCCATCATTTTCTGGTTTGAGATTGGATACCTAACCCAAACCCAGCCTCCCCCCAAGCATTTCTCGAAGATTCATTGTAAAGGAGGTATCGCAAACTTAAGATCTTGTAGAGTTCAACTGAATAGGACCAAGGAGCCTAACTCTTTATGTTGTAGGAAATAATAGAAGGTGTCAGTAAATTGGCCTCAGTACCAAATTATTTTCTAGCATGGCGAAAGAAGTTGTGGCCGGCGATTCACTGGACTCGATCGTGCCACCTAACACAGGGCGCACGCTTAAAATGGGTTCCGCTATAATTTAGGCCTAACTGTTCGAGAAAAATAAGATGTTTAAAAGCGTTGTATCATTAAGCTTACAGTTTGCTGTAAAGCATCGAGCTTCATTTACAACAATAGTTATGAAGCTCGTTAGACTTCTTTGTAAGATTTTTTCCTTAGCCTTTTCAAACTTGACTGTGCACAGCATACAAAAGCGTTCCTAACATTTTGAGAATAAAAATCGACGCATTAATTTATTCACTCACAAATGATGTATTTTCATCTCTGATTTTTGTCGGTTTTCTTAACCAGTCTCCTTCGCTACTAACTATGCTTGAAAGCATTATTCTTAGCCGATTCAAATTATAAATATAAAATTTCTTTTTTAGTGCTACTTTTGATCCAGACAGACAATTTCTCGATCGATTTTGGCAACTCATTTTTGAAAGACAAGGCTTTTAATCTTCAAAACTAACCTGTAACGTTGTCTATAGCAAAAGTTCCTAAACTGTTCCCAGCAGTGATAGAGTAGGTAAGAACACCATCTGCTCCATAATCCTGATCGGTAGCATTTACGTCCAAAACCACCTGTGACACACTGGTATTTTCACTAAGTTCCCTGACTTGGTTATCCGCATGGATCAAAACTGGTGCGAATTCATTAACACTTTGAACCTTAAGAGTTACAGAGACTGAACTGTTCAGAGATTCTGGGGTACCCTGATCTTTTGCAAGTATCACCAAAGTAAAGGTGTGGTCAGCAAGCTGGTTTTGGGACTCCAGATCCAGGCTCTTTGCCGACCGGATGATTCCTTGATTGGCCTCGATGCTGAAGAAACCTTGTTCGTTTCCACTTTCAATTGAATAGATGACATTTCCATTTGTTCCCAAATCCGGGTCTGCGGCATGAACACTAAGGATATCTTCGCTGTTTGTAACGTTTTCAAAGACAACTCCATCGTACTGATTCGCCGAAAAGGTTGGAGTATTGTCATTGACGTCACTTAGGCTCAAATGAACTGTCATTGTCCCAGTCTTCCTTTGACCTGAAGTGGCGCTGTCTGTGGCTTCCACTAGGAGGTGATATGCGTCTTGAGACTCGCGGTCTAGAGTTGAAAGAGTGGTTATCTGACCAGTGAGGGAGCTGATATAGAATTTCAAGTCATTATTTCCGTCTGTGATACTATATCTTATTTCCCCGTCTGACCCAAAGTCTGCGTCTGTCGCATTTGCATCGAAAACAACGCTTCCCTGGGTTATGTCCTCGCTAATCGTCACTGACACGTCTGCAGCTGCAAAACTAGGTGCAAATTCGTTTGCGAGAAGTATGTGAATTACAAGGGTAGCGTTGGAGTTAAGTATTGGCGTACCAGCATCTTGTGCCATGACCATTAACGTGTGTGTCCACGTGGATACCTGCTGGCTGTCCATGTCAAGTGAGGCTAGGGAAAGGAGAGATAAAACCAGTATTGCGGTCACACGATGATCGAAAGCATGATTAGATAAATACAGTTGACTGACTTAAGTAGTGTTTATACACACATATGTGAAAGAAGTTGGACTAAAAGCGGCACCTAAATGTTGTAAAAAGTCGCCGCTAGAAAATTGTTTATTCCTGGTCAGAAGGCCCTTGCCAACATAAGATGGGAATTCAGAGACAAGAGCTTTTAAAATTCTACAGCCTCTCGAAAATTCATTCATTATTTGAGAAATAGAGACACGAATCCCTGAATCTTCAAAAGACTCGAAATCTCTTCTTAACGTGCTATGATTAAGCAGTTTACGTAAGCAAAGTCGCACGTTTTCTGAAATGGATTTGCTTACACGATGAACTGCATGCACTATCAGGACTAAATTTGAAGCTAAGCAGGAGACAGTTTAGATTAAGGATTACAATCGACGTAAGATTAAGCTACTTAAGCATGCAAAGGAAGCTAAAACACGTCCGTTTTTAAATAAATGCAAAAGTTCAACACCTTCAAAACACCCCTGAAGATAAATTCCGGACTTTTTGGTTGACCATTGCTTGTCGTCTGACACTTAAGCGACGAAAAGCTTAATTTATTCCCTCAATTATACTTACGCCCGGTTCAGACGCCGATCTTTTCATGAGCCGAACCTAATTCTAATTAAGGCCGACCCGGATTATTTAGACCGGCTGAATTGATTCAGACGCCGATCTTAATTGCAGCTGAACTAAGTTCAAAAGGCGAAAAATACTCATTTCGGTCAAACTTCTTACAAAATACGTTATAATAATTTATGCATTAGGTTCGGTACATGAAAAGTTCGGCGTCTGAATCAAAGCTGTTCCAAAGTCGCTCCGGCAAAGGCGAAATTCCCGGCCGGGCTAGGCGAAAAGAGCGGCTGAGCCGTTCCAAATTGAAACAGGAGTTCCTAACTGATTCAGACGCCGAGCTTTTCATGTACTTAATTCAATGTATTAGGTCCGGCTCATGAAAAGTTCGGCCTCTGAACCGGGCCTTAGTTTAAAATTCATTCTTACAACGTAACTATACATTGGCAACTTTATATAACAGATCCTTGCTATGTGTTCAAAGATGGCACAATTCATTGTCAAGAAATGGGCAACGAGCAACATTATAAAATTAAAAATAGTTGTTCCCTCTGAAATTATAGCCTACCTTTTACAGTGAGTTCTCCAGTAGACGAGTTAAGAACCCAGAACTCGCTAGCATTACTAAACATCAGTGTGTAAGTGACAAGTCCATTCATTCCACTGTCAGGATCTGATGCAAGGAACGTGAAGACGCCTGAACCAATGGCTGTGTCTTCGCCAACATTTACGTCGTATTGAGATTCTGAGAAAGTGGGAGTGTTGTCGTTCATATCTAACACGTTTACGTGTACGGTGAAGACTGCGTTTTGGTTGTCGCTATCGCTCGCATGGATTACCAAGGTGTATGATGAAGTGTTTTCGTAATCGAGCTCGGACATAAGTTTCAGTTCACCTGTCGTCGAATTTATTGTAAACTTTCCTTCGTCATTACCTGAAACACAGACAAAGATTTGGTTTTATCAACTGATTTGATAAGGTAGACTTGGCACCGTTGAGGGATTAAGATAAGCTGACGTTTCGAGCGCTGTTAGAACTTCGTCCACCCAAGGGCTAAAAACAAATACGAGACCAATATATATATATATATGTGCATGTATATGTATTATAAACAGTCTGGTTACCTGTGAACTACCGTTGATTTCAAAGATTAGAAAAGCTCAGGATAGCGTGGAGTACGATCTCAACTACTGGGGGGAGTTGTTAGAAAGACGTTTAGCGCAAATCTGGGCTAGTTAGTTACCCTGACAACTTATGTTATGTTTGTAGTTAACCCAGGAACCCAGGATTAATACTTATCAAGTTTCGAACATCTAAGGACCGTGGCGTTAGGCAAAATCTTGGAACCTTGGTTGCTATTTCGAGGGAATAGCCTCGTCAACAGGACAAATTTAACAAATAAGTCTTTGGAAAACGCGACGGTAGCCTCTTTATGGGCATTATATACTCGGAAACTCGGGTCAATCCTCGAACGCTTTCTAAATTTGTTCATTAATGCAATAGTTTCTTTTGTATTATTGTGATTAAAGTGGTCAGTTATGTTGATTAACAGTAAATTAGGCGCTTTTTTTCTATCTCAAGTCTCTTTTTAAATCTCGGGTCACCAAAGAGACAAGATCAACATACAGGAGAATAATTCATACCTGAATCAAACAAGTAAGACACTGATCCTTGCTCCCCATAATCCTGGTCAGTAGCGTTCACTTGGAAGACAAAAACTCCATCACTAACATCAGCATTTTCAGGAAAACTAAAGTTGAACAGCGAATCATGGGCTAGCTGTGGAGTGAATTCATTGACAGCAGTGATGGTAATGTTAAGCACTACACTTGAATTAAGTTTCATTGGAGTCCCCATGTCTTCAACAAATATGTTCAGAGAATGATTGAAGTCTGGTCTGGACTCTTGCTCTAAATCAATAGAGGCGTTAACCTTTATCTCGCCTGTGATGCTGTCCAAATTAAAGAGGCCTGCCTCGTTCCCGCTTGTTATCGAATAACGGAGCTCACTGTTTGTACCCGCATCCGGGTCGTTAGCCAAAAGCGTGATAACAACGTCTCGAATGTTGGCGTCTTCTTGAACAGTGGCGAGAATTGATGAAGTTTCAAACGAAGGAGCGTTATCATTTACGTCCGAAATGACAACTTTTACATTGCTGTCTGTGTAACGTACTTTTTCTGGCACCGCGCCGTCGGATGCACGAACGGTTAGCGTAAATACGGCAGTTGTTTCCCGGTCCAGTTCGCCAATCGTTGATATATTACCCAGAAGTGCATCGACAGCAAACTGGTTTCCGGTGTTCCCGGCAACAATTGAGTATGATACATCACCTTGAGAGCCCGAGTCTTGATCTGAAGCCGTGACTGTAATGACTGGAAATCCAATAGAAATGTCCTCAGAGACAGTGGCGTTGTAAAAACCATGCGAAGGATCAAATTCAGGCGAGTAGTCGTTAACATATCTGACTTCAAATGGTTGTGAATATACCTGTTAAAATTACGAGCAAGGTGTTAATAAACAAAACATTGAAATTGCCGTAGTTGTCAATGAACCCGTTGTGCAAGGAAGTTTCTCTAGGACTTTTTTTTCACAGTTTCTCAGATTTTCACAAACGTAACAAAAGCAGAAGGTAAAATTGATTATGCTTTGTTAATCGCATACGATTAATATGTGTACTGTATTGCCTAATAACGCATTTTTCTTGAGCGTGTTCTCAGGTTAGTTTTTTCCCTATTTCCCTTCGTTTAAAACTCCTTATTTTATATTACCATGTCCAGAATTAAAGGGAAAAAAAAGAATGAAATTATACCAAAGCATATGTATTTAGTGGGAAAATGCATGTTAATCTCTGTAAACGTTTTTATCTGAAGTCATGGTAATAAGCTATAAGTCCTTTCAATATCATTGTTATTCTGATTTTAAATTTTAAAAGTGAGAAATAATTAAACAGATACACAGCATGTAAGGGATCACTCACTTCATGCCCATAGTTGGACTCGAAGACTAGCTCATATCCAATACCGTAGTACGAAATTGACAAGTTACTGAACTCCGCCCTCTCGTCTGTAACTGTCTCATTTAAGACTCCACTTAAAGTTCCATTCAAAGCCGTCGGTTTGAGGGAAACCGCGATTGACCAGTCGCCTTTAAGAGGGTGTGCACGCATGCGTGTTCCCAAATCCCGAACTTCTACAACTGGGGCGACACCAAATACCTCTGACTGGTTGGCCTGTGCGGGTTGTGTAATTACTTCCAGGTAGAATAACCGAGCATTCACGTCGAACGTCTCCGAGGTCACTGACAACCCAGAATAGGAAGACGAGGGCTCAGTTATGACGGTGAATTGTATTTGATACCCCTGGGCAACATCATAGAAGTTCAAGTCTTGGAACTCTACTCTTCCTGCCGTAGGTACGTTCACTAGGGCCGTGCCGTTTAAAACAGAGTTGCTAACACCGACCATACTGGCGTTGATTTGCCAAGTTCTTCCTCTCCAGCCAATGTTCTCGACCAATGTGTCGGGGAAGACATTTCTTATCTCCACTATCGGCTGAGTACCACAGATAACTGTATCATTACAGTTGTCTGGTTGTTGAGCAATCTTGAGGTATAGCAATCTCTCTGAAACGTTAAATGCTGAGGAGTTGTCTTTAAAGACGTACCGAGAAGATGGTACAGTAATTGCCTCTAATGCCAAGATATAGTTTTCTCCGGAAATGTCCACGCTCAGATTGGTGAACTGGGCGACACCTTCGAAATAATGATAACAAATTGTGTTAAATTATATCCAAGGATTTATTTCAATTTTTAACTTCGTATACAAATTGTGTTCAATGAAAAACACCAGAATTTTTGGAGTGAAACATCGTCACTATAGTGCACATTTTAGCCAGATTTTCTCGATCCAGTTATTGTGCAATTGCACTTTAGACAAGGAGCAAGTATTAATTCCATTTATTTCTTTTGGAATTGTGGTGCATAAAAACACTGATTATATTCGGACAGGACTCTACGTTCTGCAAGAGTGAATGATTTGATATTGTAGCTTCCAAACGACCAGTACGCCTTTCAATCAAGACAAAGACTTTATTAATTTGAGTGATTCTAAGAGCTTGCTTTACTTTTGGCCAGAAAAAAAAAAGAAAATGTAACAATAAACAAACCTTTAGTGAATTCCACTTCTGTTGTTCCATTAAGGTGGCCTTCATTATCATCTGGATTAGCGATCGACGCTTTGAAGAGCCATTGCCGTCCTTTCCATCCTGTATTGTCCACAATGTCTCCATTGGCGGCATCACGAACTTCAATTCTGGGCTGTTGTCCAAAGCTAACGGTTTCATTGGCGTCATCCGGCTGAACAGTGACAGTAAAGTACATTATCCTCTCTTTTACTTCGAACGCCAGCGAAGTGGCATTGAAGTGAGATGCCGCTGGTTTACTGACGTTAAACAGCAGTTTGTAGTCACTGCCGTTATGGGTAATGCTTAAGTCAGTAAAATTGGCCCATCCTTCTACTATTTCCACAGAGACGTTACCCTCAAGTACTGCCATCGAGTCACCAGTACCGTTCAGTATGCTCGCTGTTACTGTCCAATTGCTTAGAGAACCATGACCCAAAACGGTCACTAACGTGCCATCGATATCCACGAGTTTGAGCTTGGGTTGGATGGTAAATGGCACCGTCTCGTTTCCTCCATTCGGCTCAGTTACAATCTCCAGTCTGTTAGGAATGAGGAAGCTGAATACATTACTAGGGGCTTCCGCCTCTTCTTGTGCTTGCAGCTGGTCATAACGAAGTGTTGAATTATCTGTTATATTCGGACCACCTATATGGGAAAATTGACAAAGGAGAAAATGAACTTTACGCTATCATAGAATAGACAAGCTTCATTAACTAGTTTCTGGGGCTTCTTCATTTTCGAGCCAATTCTGGTATTTCATTTACAATCAAGCGAGTACATACTCAACCTATAGTATAGTTATTTTTAACTACCTGTTCCCCTTAGAAATATTTTCCGCGAAAATGGTCGTGACCATACCAAAATAATGATGATAAGGCCACCTACAATTCTGCGTTTCAGTTAAAACTCTTAAGAATTTTGTTAAATGAACCTTATGAAAGGATAATAAATTAAAAAAGTTTTGGTGAGGAATTTAACTTTGCATACTGAAAACGGCAACTTTGACTTTGAGGACTTTGGCTTTTTGCTTTGCTTTGGTATTTTTCTCTCTTTTGACCATGGTCAGGCTTAGGTGTATGAGTCGCTCCCAGGACAATTTAAGAGGCTCTTATAATATCTGATACATGTTCCAGCCTTCGAAGTATGCCCAGATAACACTTACTCTTCCAAATGTTAGAAAAACTCTTTGCCTAAATTAGTTCATGTAAGCGTAGCGAATTTTGGAAAGGATGACGTTCTTACCAGTCTCATTGGTTGCCCGGACACCACCGGTTGGGTCAACTGGTTCGGGGATTGGGTCGGATATGGAAAGTGATACAACATCCAGGTCTGCCTTCTGCGAGAGTTCTCCAGTCTGCACTTTTTCCACTAAATCATCGCCAACCTTTCTTAACTCCTCAACAGAGGTAGTACTGTTAACTCCTTGGCAAGAACAGACACAAAAGGAAATAAGAGTACATGCGACATCTTAGGTGAAACCACGCTCGCCAGCGGCTAGTGGTTTACATGAGTTTTGAACATTTTGAGGTAGTTACTATGATCTATAAGAGTATATACGACTGAAAATTGTCGTCGATTTGCTAATGAATTTTGTAGATGAGATGAGAAAAGATGGAAATGTCAGAGGCAACTTAGTTACAGTGGCTTGGTAGTTCATTTTCATACCTGTATAGTTTCCTGACGAGTTAGATGAGGAAGACGAAGAGCCGTTCAAAGCCAGGGGAGGATCGCCAATCTCAATTCTTATCAGAAAGACATTGCCAGAAGATCGCTTTCTCCTTCTTCGTGAACTGGATTCGCTGACAATGTCTACAATTCTGACCCGAGATGGATCAATACCCAGCAAAGCAACGAGATTATTTAGCAGGTTCTCTTTGAAGAATTCATCAATGGAAACAGCTCTTGCACCAATCTGAACCTATGATTGTCAATATGGAATAGATATTTTCAATAAAGTGAAATTATTCTCACGCACTTTACAAGTTTAAAAAGAGCCTTACAGACAAATTTTTTCACAAAGCGTCGGAATTTTTCCGACGAACACTTTCGCCATTTTCATACTGTGAGTACCCTCTCTCCTATGGACGCGACTGCAACGTTTAGTTCTGTTCCCCGCTGGAACTACCTGAACACTAAGAGCGCTTACCATTAGTCAGAACTGACCGGTCTGATCTCGTCTTGGAATCCGGAGTCCAGCAAGTTTTTGCTATGAATCCGGAATCCTGGGCTTTGGAATCCGGAATAACAGCACAAGGAATCCTGAGTCCCACTAACGGTTGGAATCCGAATCCAAGTTCCACTGACAAAGAATCCAGAATCCAGTACATGGAATCCGGATTCCATGACGTGGAATCAATTCAAGACTGTCTTGGATTTCTTTACACGGGGCGACAGATCTGTTCTATCAATCAGAATTATCGATCCAGCTAGATCAGTCCTTTCATATAATAGAAGCATTCACGGGAGTGGTTGTCTTTTAGCGAAACGTCTCCGTGAAAAGACCCATTTCATTTTCAAAATGGCCGCTGCGACCCACTAGTTGTGTCGTTTGATAGTCCGATGCCACAAATTACCGTTTTCCCTGTGAAACTCGTCTGTTTATAATCGCAAATATCAAAACTCCTAAGTTAACAAAGAAAAGCTACTGACCTGGACCACTGGCATGACTCGTATATCAACTGGTGTTGAGCCGCGCAAAATGACGTACAGTGTACTGAGCTTACGGTCAAAATAATTAGCACCATTGTAACTGGTCAGCTGTGGCACAAAGTAATCGTCAGGCGCCCCCTCTGGCAGTGGGATTGTGGTGAAGTCTGATCCTCCAAGCTGTCCATTTGTTGGATTCATGAATACTCCTGCTTGTAAATATTCGTAATTACTATTTACGTAAAGACAAGTAAAATTCTCTACTTAATCGAAAGGTAGTGAGGTTACTAAAAACGTTTTCTTAGTAACCCTTGTTGAGGTTTGTTCATATAGGTTAAGGCGAATCATCACATACATAAATAAATACAATTAAGTTATTCTTTGTCATTTCAGATGATTTAAAAAATTTTGCACCAGCCTTAAAAATACAACAAGCAAAAGCGAAAATAAGACTTTCGCGATCTGGAAATAGGGGCGGTGGTGGGAAAAAATGCACCTTTTTTACACGTTTTTTTTTACTGAACCTCTGCACTTCTATCTTCTAACCTTGAACAGGATAACTTCGCACTCATGTTTCGTTAACCTTCAATTATTTCAACTCTTACTCGCTTAATTATCAAACTGTAATACAAGAGGTTTCTTGTTGTAAGAGGTTTTACCTGAAGAAGTGAAATGTAGATATTTATGTTATACCAAAACACGTACCTCCTTTGTATACGTCTTGTCTTTGAGGCCTTTGATAAAACAGTCCAACTCTTATGACATCCCCGGGGTTGCTATTCAGCAAGTGCAACCGTATTTTTTGTGGCTCGTTGGAAGTGAAATACACAGAATAGTTCGTTCCAGTGGCGACTATTCCATAAAACGTGGATATTCTTTCTTGGCACGTGTAACCCAGACACCAGCCGTGATCTTGGGGCCCATTCAGAAGATTCACATAACCTGATGTAATGATGATCAACAGTTATAAGCTTTTCAACTGTCATCATGGGGGGGGGGGGGATTGGACGGGGTGGCTGCCGGGTGATTTTGTTGAAACAAGAATTATTTTACCACGCTCACAAACGTGATCGATATCTATTTCTTGTTTCAGGTATAAATATGAGGTTAATAACTCAATGCAAGAATTTTTCTGCGGTCAGGTCCTTATGCAGGATATGATTTTGGAAAATTACTCAACCCCCTGAATTCGAAAGAGGGTCTGAAAATTCCAATTCAGAATTCATCAATTCATGTTATTTAAAATAACTCGAATTATCAAGGATTGAAGCTATAAAAATGGATATTTAAGTTTGTTTCATTTTACAAGTTCAACGAAACAGTATGGATTTACAGTGGTTTAGATCCTAGTATATATTTGTAGCGTTAACTATTTGAAAGTATTTCGGGATAGTATTTCAGCTATAAATAACATAAAAAGGGTGAATTTATATCCACTACCTATCTTACTTAAGGGACTGTGCAATAATTATAAGGAGGGGGGGGGGCCTTAAGTTAAAATAATGGAAAGGAGGGAGGGGGGGGCTCTACATTAGATTTCTCAAGTAAGTTGAGGGGGGGTCTTAATTAAATTTCACAAATTCGATAATGAATAAATAAACATTTTCCAAATAGACAGATGCCACTCCTTTGACTATCCATAATGTCTGAATATTGCATCAACATAAACACATGCTTTAACTTATTTAGAATGTCAACATATGATAGATTGAAACAATCGTCAATGCACAGAAGTCACAAACCACGTTGTGAGCTTTGCCAATAAAACATTTGGCATTTAAGAGGTCCCGCAGACAGGCCAGGACTGTTCTTGATTTAAACAGCGAGAGGGTTTCTAGGTCTACAGTTTCTAGCTGAGGAATGCCACATGCTTCTGTTTCATAGTTGTCATCACTTCATAGAGCACCAAAAATTCCTTGCAATGAAAGCAAAAAAACGGGCAACGGAAAGGAACAAACTTCCAGACATTAATTGGTCCGACGAGGTTGAAGTCAACTCGCTGTCTGCAAGTAAACTGAAACTCTACCTAAAGGAGCACGGTTTACCCGTCAGCGGAGGGAAAGCAGCACTCGTAGCTCGTGTTCTAGGTGCTGGGGAAGCTCAAGGTAAAGAAAACCCGGATGAGCAGCAATCTAGCAGTTCCAAAGACCAAGAAGATAATGAACAATCAGACGATTCGGAAATTGACGATTATGAAGAACAAAGTTTCGAGGTGCTCTTCATCCCTGACGACGCATTGGAATGCGTTGCAGTACAGTGAATAAAGGTACGGGTTAGGGGGGCACATCATAATTTTGGAGAACGTGAGGGGGTCAGAGCTAATCTTGACGCTGCTGGAGGGGGGGACCTATCTAATTTTTCCTTTGGTGAAGCTCATTTTAGGACCCCCCCTTCCTGATAATTATTGCACAGTCCCTAAGTTTAAAACTATTTATTATGCACAACCGCCAGTTATCCCTTCGTTCAAGGGTCAAAAGCTCTACCTTGCTTGTTCTCATGTATTTACACTAAGCCAATGTATTTTCAATACATACCATTTGCAATCAGGGCCACAGGAGAGAGTCGCCTTGTTTCAGTATCCGCGTCCAAACTCTCAATAACCAGCATCCGGAAATGAAGATCATTACACTTGTAGGCGTTCCAGGGAGCATGCCACGAACACGTGGTACGATCCTGCGTTCCACGGACGATACCCTTATGAGCGGCAACCAATGATACGTTCAGGCGCGCTCCATCGACAGCCGTCAGGGCCGGTTTGGGGATTCGATAATCTCCTGCATCATATTTAACAAAATTGTAAATTGTAAATTGTTTACTCTCGAAACACTTAAGAGTTCTAGAAAACTCGTTAAATGGGTCCGTGCTTTCCAGATACAACTGGAATTTGGAAGTGTTGGTTTTTGAGCAGAGGAGTAAATTGTAGTACCCGGAGAAAACCTTTCGGAGCAAGGGATAGAGCCAACAACAAACTCATGCCACATAATATGGCGTCGATGCAGGGATATTTTTAACCCAGGCCAAATTGGTGGGAAGCGAGTGCTCTCACCACTGCATCACCCTTGCTCCCGGAAGAAGAACAGATTGAAACAGTGAAAAACTGTTTTCAGTTATACCAGTACCAGCTATCCCAGTGGACAAGTTACGGTCAATTGTTGACGCGTTAGGTTATTATAGCAACGGCAGTAATTTTTCTTATAGGGTTTACCTCAAAGTGAAGGAGCGTGAGAATTGGAGGGGGGGAGAGGGGGGGTCTATATAAAGAAGACGGGAAAGCTCGTTGTCTCTTTTACAGTTGTAAATATTCGGATTTTTGGTCTTACTTAGGGTGTTCTGGCTATGACGCCAATACTTTAAGTCGTCAAGACCTCGTTTGGGGTTGCACGTGAAAAAAAAATATAAATTCTATTTTGATTATTATGATATCTATTAGGGGTCAAAAAAGCTTAAGCTAAACCCTGATAGGTCTCCCGACAAGCACCCATGTATGTACCATAGGGAAGAAAACCTCCGGAATTTAAAAACGTTAATATAAAACTGGCCCCAAATGTTTTACTTAAAATTTCACTTTTTGCGTAAAAGACCAACTTAATCTCTGAAAATAAATTGGTAAATTAAAATACTTGAAAATTCAGTCTCCAGCTACCGATTCTTAACTTTATTAGGGTGGAAGGTGAACATTTATTGAGAACGAACCACTAGAACGAGGGCATTTAAACGTACGTACCCAGGCCAAACCGCACGTCCCCACCCCACTCAAATTCAGCCATGGATATCACTGCATCTCCAGGAGAGCCAACCAGGGAACCATCAAGGTCCTGGATGAGAAGCTGCCTTCTTCCATCACAATCCATGTCCACGCAATCCGATGGATTAACTAAATCAAGGTTCGCTTCCTCATACAACAACTTTGATTCTTCGTCCACGGAGTCGTAATGCAGACCTAAAAGAAGTATAACATTCAGAAAAGAGATTGCTGGGTGGCAAAACCCAGCTAGGTTCATAGTAAAGGGAAGGAAATACACTGACGTGTTTCTAAACTTCAACTCAAATTACCCACTTTTCCTTTGAAAATAATTCGACCATTTGATTCCAATTCGGATGATTAAACGAAATGAGGCGTTACTCTGGTTGATAAAAAAAAATAGATCAAGGAATCGGCGGAGACTTACTTCACCAGGTGGACATGATGGAATAGTGGGGTGTCACAATCATGAGCAAAAGTAGTTGTGCCGCCTTTTTGGTCAGTTGGTCGATTGGTTAGAGGTAATTAATTATAACGTTATCTTATTCCACCCCTGTATGCCAATAGAGCGTTGTCCCGGTGCTGTTTTTACCCAACATTAAAAATTACTGACACACCTTGAAAATGGAGTCAAAGGTCTTACACTAAGATATACATATTAATTAGATACTAAAACAGTGGATAGTGTTTTTCGCGCGCTCTGATTGGCTACCCAATCAGTTAATATCCTGCACTATTCACTGATTCACCTCCAGTTCCTCCGAGCAAGTGACGCCAAACTCGCCACGATGCGAGCAAAATGCCTTCCCGGTTTGCTGCCGTAACAAACAAAGAAATTTCACAAATAATCAAGCAAGCTGTTTCCGAAATACACGAAGAAGGTGAAGAAGTTCGGTTCGGAAGTTTTAACAGGTAAAGCTTTGTCTTTTTGACTTGAATTTATCTATGAAACCGGTGAAAAAGTTTTTTGTTTACAAATGCATTAATAAGCTTAAGTCTTGCGTTACTTTATTTAGTTGACTTGTTCATAAATAATCTTAAAACTAAATTTAATAATCTTTTTTACAGACTGGTTTTAAATACAAAACAAATTCAGAACTCCTTTTGAAGAACTTTCCCCGAAAGAGCTAAACAAATGCCTTCAAAAGTTTTATTTGTCGGCAAGAAAAAGCGACGACCGCGCCCGTTCGGTCATTGCGCACCACAATTATAATCGTTGGCAATAGTCAATGAGTTAAATATCATCATTTTTGTGCTCAATTATCTCACTGTTGTAGTATATACTAAAACAATTATTCACCTTAGTATCGGTGGCTAATGGTGGATATTTACCTCGCTGCTTCGCACCTCGGTAAATATACGACTATCCACCTCCACTTCGGTGAATAATTGTTATTTATATTTTAATTTAGAATTGGTAATAAGCTGGACATTGTTGTTACATTAAGGGTCGTATTTTCCTCCTACTAAACTTACCCATAACATCAATTGGGTGCATTATATCTCCAGCCCATGAATTGCTCATTATTGCCCGATGCCTCTTGTTACATGTGGTCTCGAACCCAGCAAAGGTGACCTCACGGTAAAGAGTGTAACCATTGATCCCAGGATAGGTGAGTGGACTTTCCCAAGCCATAACTGGACCATTGGCTGGTGCAGAGCCAAAGTTTGTCATCGTAATGCCAATTTTACCACCTGCAAAAATGAAAATGTGACAACTTTTTATTTCATTTTTATTGGTTAATCCAAATTTACAATTTTATTTCCTCGCTGCCCGCAAATAGCAAAGGCTGGTCTAGGTGGGCAGTGTTTATACAAAAGACAAAATACGCACTCCAGATTGTATTCACTTCACATGTAAAAACAAGTAATCCATCTAAATGTACAAATGGTAAGGAGCAGAAGAAAACTTGAGATAAAAACAATGCTGAGGTTAACTGGAATACAGAATATAAATCAGAAACTAACAAGTACTCTATGAAGACTATTGCGAAGATGATTGTGAATGCGTTGCCTTTGCCCTAACGATTATTGAAAGGAGATGACGTTAAGCCAGATGGCGTTTAGAGCACAAGGAAAGTCACCCATCGCAACTGTTTGGGTAAAGTAGCAATTTTCACTGCGCAAAAATGATAAAACTGCAATCAGAATACTTAAAGGGAAGTAAGTGGCTATTTTACACAGTTGTATGCGTCCTAAGGAAAGTGCCATTAATCAAATTAAAAAAAAAAAGACTTGCCAAATGATTGAACAAAGGGCTTTTTTTTTAAAAAAAAAATATAATAATTAAAAAACGGGTGCGAATAAGTCTTATTGGGTTTCTGTTTCAATCTTCAACCCATTTAACTTAACTCGCACAGGGGATGAAATGGTTGAGAAAGCAGAGATAGATTTTTAGCCATACAAGGAAGCAATGGAAAGCAAGCAAAATCGTAGAATTGAGCAGATGACATACCTCCTGGTGCCTTTTTAGCTCCTACGGAGCCGTATGGTTGCTTGGCATAGGGAACAAAGTCATCTGCGCAGTCATAGTTTGGACTGGTGCCAACAATCAGGCTGTTTCTTAAAATAAAGTATTTGTTAGCTGTTTTATGCGTCAACGCGTGAGGTCCCCAGACATTAGGAAGCAGACCCACAGTGTTGTCGACAGCTATAACGTGGTCTACAATGACACTGCTTTGGGGATATATGAAGACACCGTAGTCAAGATTTTTCCATGTCAAGTACCCTGCTATCATGCTGCATTCTCGAAATCCCTCTTTGTAGTGCAAATGAATTCCGTGCCATGCACCGTGAACTATATTTCCCGAGGAGGAAGAATCCTCGGGGGAATAGAAAGGTGCGCATTTCACTCCGTCAATCTTATATCCAAAGCGTTCGCTTCCAGCTATAGTGTTGTTTATCAAAACTACATCTTCTGCTTTGTGAACTTCAATGGCGCCTGGCCAGTGCACATTCGAGTGGTCCCTTCTGTCCTTGTATGTGTGGATGGAAATCGAGTATACAGCCAAGTTACGTAACACACGGTTAAATTTCCCAGTGACCTGGATAGAGGAGCCAACAGTATGGTGAACAATATTATCCTCCAGTGTTAAGTTGTTTGTTCCGAAGACGCCAATTCCGGGGTTATAACCATCATGTATTGCGTTGCAGCGCACATAGGAGTCATTGCCAATAACGTCACCGATGTTAACCAGAGCTAACGAGAATCTGAAACAATTAAGCGCAAATATGAATATTAAAAAAGCGACAAAAGTGCTTATTGTTGGTTAACAAAAACAAGCACTTATAAAAAGAAGAAACAGATGTATAACATCAGCAATTGCAGGGGTTATTCTCTTGAAGAAACATGTTATTCACCACTTGTATATCTAATGTATCTAGAAGGTCTCTGATTTATTCAAGGGTCCGACAGCTCAAACTACTTTGTACTTTGGCCATTAACTTTTCTTCAATGTTTTAATGATTTTTAATAGTTTAGAAGCAATGTGACGTCAAAACGCGTCATAAAAATCCCTTTTTTATCAGTGCCCCCACTTAAGTTAATAATAGTAATAATAATAATAATAATAATAATAATAATAATAATAATAATAAAACAGAAAGAGGTGAACTAACCTGGGATCAAAATCATCGATCCAGCCCTCCTGTCCACAATGCCTGATCTCCACATACTCAATCCTGGTGCCAGCATGTTCACCTGCTACTAAAATACGACACCCAAATGACTGTTCAGTCAAGGATCCTGCAGGATTGTCGGCGCCTTCTATTATAATGTTCCTTGTGAGTCGTCCTACCTCTCCTGTCAAACTATATGACCAGTTTCCAGCCGTGTGTGTTTCTGCAATATGTCTGTACTGAAGAGGAGCGGTCAATGTCAGATTGCGCTTGTCTCGGGAAATATCTTCGATAAAAGACTTTTCAGTCTGTCGAGGCTCCACGGTTGTTGATGTGATGACAATTTCGTCACCAACATCCCAGTCCACTGGCTCGTCAAGTGTCAGAAAGCGATCCCCAGCTGAAGCCGTAGCAGCCAATCGCGTCCAGCAAACCGAATTTGGCTTGCCATGTAGCCACATGAATCCAAATACAGCAACAGCTTTGCTTCCTACATTGAGACCAGCAGTGGGTTCATACTCTTCGCTGTTTACGTCACCTCGTAGAGATATCAATAAATTCGAGAGATACGGCTTGTCGGGCCATCCCACAATAAGGCCTCCGGCGACGAATACCAATGTCGCATTTATGACCATATCCTCTCCACGGAGGTCTTCAATCTCTAGAGTCCCAAAAATCAGTAGCTTGTTCAAATATGGTAACTGTATATCGGCAAGCATGTACCAGTCTTTCAGTATCATGACGTCGCTTCCGTTTTTAGGAAGCCGGCGACCATAACCCCCATACATAGGTTCCGTTCCTTCCCAATGGTCAACGTTCGACCAGCGCAGGAAACTTGACGGCCTGCCTTTTGGAGGAGGGGGTGGAGTAGGGGTTATACAGTTTTCGTAGAAGCACCTATACACGAGAAGTTGAATTGAAACTGGATCAATATTGTTGTTGGGTGTACGAGTCCCACTTTTCCCTGACGCAAGGTATGTAAAGAGTTTTGTTTCGTTGTTGAAGCTCCAACTTCCATGGTTTGCACTAGCAGAGGGCACGATCTCTGTCATATTTTGATACACTCCAGTAGTAGTGAACATGTCCGGTCTTTGAGTCAAGGGGTGATTTATCCAAATGTGGTCGTGATCACTCATTTCATAAAACTTTCCCGAATAAGTAATGTTCGTGATTTGGGAGGCATCTATAAATGTCATGTTGTAGTTTTCTCCAACGATCAATAACGCCACCCAGCCCTCTTCATGCGTTGCGCATTTTATGCAATACGGTGCCACAGACGTTCCATACTGGTTTCTGAAAAGAACGTTTTTTCCTTTCAGAGAGGACGGTCCAGCACGGTTAAAGGCAAATCTCCTGAATTTTACGTTTGAATTGCAGACACTCCCGTTATGAGGACCGAAGCTGTCTGGTGGTGAAGAAGAACAATGTTGAGGAGGGAGATTTCCATTACTTGGTACTATGCTGCCATTCACATAACCAGTAAGACTTCCATCGAGATCTACTATCACCGCTTCGTGGCTCCACCGTAAGGCAGTTCGGCGCGGGGAGTTCACAAAAGTGTTTTTTGAGGTAAGTGTGGTCCAACCGCCTTTCTTTTTAAACTCCAAGCACTGCGCACATGTGGTGTAACAGGTGCAACCTGAGCGGTTAAAGTTTACGAAAGTGACATTTTCAACGACAAGTTTGGAAAACTTTGGAAGTCTAATGCCAGACTCCGTACAATGTGTGTTGCTTCTGATCTTCAGTTCTAGTCCCTCACTTGCTTGGCTGTGGCCAACGATCAGTGCATTTACAATTCTGGGCCCTCCCCAGGGAGTGTCCTTTTGGTCTGCGAAGACGTACTCAATCCCCGCGATATCATTATCCAGCATTTTAAAGTCATGCATCTGAACTGCTCCTACTTGGACAGCCTCAGCACCACGCATATTGTTATAAGCGATGAAACTGCCAAACACGGCAGGCTCAGCTTTCCATGAATTGCATCGGCCTCCTTGCAGAGGATGATAAGTTGGGAATATCCACAATCCATATCGACCAAAGGAATGTGCTGAGTTATTGATAAACTCGTACATGAAAACATTTCTAGGACAATAGTCAGGAGTAAAGGATGGGCCATCCGGATGTTCAAACATCTGATACCAAAACCCAAAGTGGCTACCTCCGGCGGCCGCGTTATGGCGGACCGTGTTGTTTGCATTAGTCACCCAATACGTAGCTGGGGTTATATCAACATTTAAAGCCGATGACGAAGCTATGACGAATATTCCAAGATTATATTCAATTACGTTTCCTGTTTCAATGCCGTCCTCCATGAATAATGCGTTTCCGCGAACGTAGAACACAACGTTATGTCTTACAACAAGGTTATGGACGCCATGCATGGTAATTGCTCTGTTGAAACTATGATGTATCGCGCAGCCACGGACATAAGAACCCCTGACGTCACCACTGAGATGGAAATGTATTGGATAACGACCGAGACGGAATGCCTGTCCTGCGTGCGAGATCTCCACGTAACTGAACCTGGCTGTAACCATATCCTTGCTCTCCTCGGGTGCGTGTATCATGATTTGAACACCAAACTCGTCACTTCCAATCTCTTCGCCAAACTTCCCTTGAAAGCATGTCTGTGTCTGAAACTGCCCCGGTCTGAATTCGTCTGGACAAGCCTCGATTGTTTCGGTCCACATGGCATGAACAGAGCCTCTCACTCGCACGTTCCGCGTGAGAAGTCCAACCTCCGCGCGCGTTTCCACGGTGTGAATACCATTAAAAGTCTGGACAATAGAGATGTGCTTGTAGCGAATTGCTGGAGTAATTTGCAGTGTTTTATTCCCGTTTGAAACAGCTATTATGGTAAGTTCTTCGAACTCGCGCTGGGATTTTCCAGTGGGTGCTAGAATAATCTGATCTCCAGGTTTCCATGTGACTTCTTTCATCAGGTGTAGCTCAGTGGCACCAACTTCGGCTGTGGCACTCAAATGTGTCCAGGTGATTGGCACGTGCATACCATGAAGATCAAGTGTTCCTTCTCGGAGGGCAAGTGTCTTGGTACCAAAAACTGGAATCTCTGGGGACCGAACATGACCGTGCAGGGTAATGGTGGCGTTTCCTGGAAATGGTTCGTCCTCAGTGCCCACTTGAAATGTTCCTTTATCCGTAATAAGTATATTCTCTGCTTGCAAGTGAAGGGAAGGTTTGTCCCTGTCAAATATTAGTTTTCCTCCCTGAATGAGAAGTAGTTTAAGAACAGGCGTGTCTACATCGAGTAAAATCGTTTGGCCTTTCTTTATGTACACGACTGCTCCTGTGGAGAATAAAAGCAAACTTTGTAAACTTTTGTCATTTCTATGTGTTTAGAGTAATGCGTAAAAGTGGTCACTGCCATTATCACCGTCAGGATCATTATTATCTTGAAATCTTTAATAAAAGGAGAAGGATTTGGGATGCTCTGGCGTCCTAGACAGGTTAGACAAGATGCCATGGTTTTAAATTTCACCTAGTGATTGATTGCAGTTGTTTCCTCAAGAAAACGAATAATTTTTTATTAGTCCCTGAAGTAGATGCAGCTTTAGTACTGCGAAGGTGGGGGCGTGAAAGGTACTCTGTCAACTGAATCAAATCTAAATAGCTACCATTAAAAATGGTAAATCTCTTGAACGTTGGCTTATCCAGTTTACTATGACACCGCGGTTTTAGTTTTGCCTTTAGCGATCTATTTTTCTAAATTTCTACTACATTGATACCCAGAACGCTAATTCACAAGACTGACCTTCTTTTGGCGGATCATCATTTCCCCAGGTGTATGGCGAAGACCAAACGTCCACATAAAAGTAAAATCCGTTAGCATCCAGGGCCTTGCCGTTTGCTCCTACGTCTACTCGAACTTTAGTCTCAGTTGTTCTGCTGTGATTGCCAGTTTCGCACACAATACAGGAGGAGTTCGCCGAGATTATTTCACAGGGGGTACCATCTATGCTAGCCACATTGTCATTCAGGGTGTTGCTAAACCCATTGCCCTTAATGGTGAGTATAGTGCCTCCACCCGTCCCACCTCTGGGTGGTGTGACAGAAGTTATTTCTGAAGTCATGTCAGTTCTGTAAGTAAAACCTCTAGACAAAGTAGAGGTAACACCGTTCAAGGTTATTACAACGTCGCATGGTTGATTTACTCCTGTTGCGTAATTAGGATGCATTGGTGCTTCGCAGGATATTTGAGTTGTTGTCGTAGAGTCCCTTGATCGAACAGCGCACTCGTTACCACAAATTGTGATCACCGCATTGTTGTCGAAGCCATGTCCCTGAATTCTGAGGAGGCTTCCTCCCCCGAATCCACCTTGACTGGGATTCACAGTGGCTATATTCAAACTATATTGAAAAGAAATTCCTGTTGTTGTTGCTTCCCCTCTGCCAGGTACCAAGATGCCAACATTATTTGAACCTGCAGCATGTGAAGACAACGTACAAACAACATTGCTTTGGGCTGAACTTGTTACTGCGCATGGCACGTCTCCTATGAGAACCTCTACTTCCACGTTGGAAGGCAATGGATCCAACCGGCTCCCAGAAAGCGTCAAAATGTCTCCACCTTTGCCCGTTGTGGGTGAAAGTGACGTAACTACAGGAGTAGCTGCTGCAGTATAAGCTATAGTGGCTGCGGGAAACGAACTGCCAACATTCGAGCTGACTGTAACTTGTAACGCAACAGAATCAGTGGCTGCTTGCGGCGGTGTTACGCATTTTATTTGTCCATATGTTACTGTCATAATCTTACAAGCGTCTCCTCCGATGGTAACAGTTGTTTCATTTGGAGATGGATCAAATCCATTTCCGTTGATGGTCACCGTTAATCCTCCATTTATGCTGCTTTCCTCTGGTGATATCGAGGTCACCTTTGGTTCAACTACAAGAGTATCTGATAAACCAGTGTCGAACCGCGCGTTTCCTTTGCCTAGTACGTTAATCGTTATTTTGTGATTTCCAGCCACAGCTCCTGAAATCTCACACTTAAGCAACGGTGAGGAAACATCCACTAGTGTTACGTTACAAATTTCCTTGCCCACCTTAACCGTAACATCAGAAATTTGAGAAGGAAGGCCTGACACTTGAAACAGCAATTCCGTTGGTTGAGGACTTACGATGCTGCTCGGTGAAAAAGTGCTAACAGCAGGGGTGTTGGCATCAGAAAATGTGTATTGACAATCCGAAATTTCAGAAGCAACGCACTCACTGGTGCTTGCCTTAACTGTAACATTGACGGGTTGCCGCTGGTCGTTGGTTGAAGCTTTCGTGTTGCACACAATGCTGGTGAATGACGAGCTGATGACCTCACAAATAGTGTTGCCAATCCGCACCACATTGAAGCCACTGATGTCGCTAAATCCATTGCCCGTTATAGTGATTCGAGTCCCACCAGCTTGTGAGCCAGTGCTAGGTGACACTGAAGTTATACTGGGTTTTAGCATAAAGTGAGTGGTTTTACCAGCAGCTTTACTAACAATTGCGAAGCCTCGGTTAATCACTTTCACTGAGACATCAAGTGGTTCACCGGCGGGTGGGGAATCAACAGTATTAAGCTGACAGGTGATCACTGTCTCATTGGAAAAGATTACTTGACAATCATACGAGTCAAAATTTACTTTGTTGTGGCACGTTTCATCACTAAAGCCGTTCCCACGAATTGTTATTACCGTGTCGCTAATACCTTGAGCAGGAGAGACGGAGGACACTTTAGGCATGCTACATGAGGTATAGGTAAAGCTGGTTTGTGAAATGTCTGGTTCCTCAGCTGCGGAAGTATTGCATCCATAAATAGCATCAACTCTCCCGGAATCGCAATTTGAGGAGGAACTTGAGATAGACGTCAGATTGTAAAGTGCATCGTAACCTAAAGAAAAGGTTATATAACACATAAATCCTCGATTATGTTGATTTTGTTAGGGCAGAGAATAAGGAACACGGCAGGGATCGAAAACACAACAACATTTAACAGAAAGCCGGCATTACGAAAACATATGGTCCAGAGAGAGTAGCATCATGGGAAATTCTAGGCACGTGCTGCTTGCATATTTTAAGAAAAAGACCACAGAAATCTGGTGACACTAGTAAAAATCTAATAACAGACATTTGCATGGTAACGATGTCAACAATGCGAAAATGCACCATGCCGAGGTTTAATATCCCTAAGCTACTAACATAAAAGAAAATGAGCCAGAAGGTTGATTTCTGGTGGTGGGAATATTTGTAAAGCATGTACCTTACCGTCTATTTTTATGGTGATTGGACCGGTCTGTGCTCCATGTGGAAGAACCCTGATCACTCCCTTCATTTGAACAATACCATTGCCGGAATAGTAATACACTGCTGGCTCACGAAACCTGACAAAATTTAGAGAGTGGTAAATTATATAGTTTCCAAATCCTTGAACTCACTTTGACTTAACGTTAAAACAAGAGACCTGACTAACTTAAATGTATTTTACCCAAATTTTAGAGATCTTTTGCTTCACATTTCTTTAACAATGTGCAATTTGTTTGAGACATAACAGCAAATCGGCTTGAAGAAAAAAGGTTTATTCGCTACTCGTTGTTATTTTTACAACTGCTCTCAACTGATTCTATATTCCTGGTGTTGTATGAGAGGTGATTTAGCAGCTCCCAACGTACTCTACTGATCGAAATATGTATAATACGTATTTCCATAACATCTTTTTTGCAAAACAAGTGGTGATTGCGGGTATAAAAACTATGCATACCGGCAACACTTAGCCACTGGTAAGAAGTTCTCTTTCAATCGGTGCCACGAACAAAGAGTTTTGCTTCTGTTTATTAGTTATGCAGGCCCTCAACATATTCTCGGTTTGATAACTGTCTCGAATTCTCCCAACATCCTCTCGTGTTTATATCAGGTTATACAAACACGCGTTTTTTATTGCTTAACGATAACAAATAAATGAGGAGCAACTCTTCTTTAAGTTTGCATAGACAATAAATCCAAATATTGTAAAACTCGATAAGTCTTCAATAGTGTATAAGAAACGTCATTTCAAGAATGATTATTCAGTGAACCTGTGTCTAAAAGTTCCAGTTCTGCTGCTGTCACTGCGAAATCCAAAGCCATCGTAATCAACCGAAGAAGAATCAGTAGTTTGAAAGACATTAAAAACAGCGTTAGCCTGTCCAGACCACCTCCACTGAAAAAATAAATAAATACAATAGGAATGAAGAAAGAATCTAAAAGCGTAAACAGTTATTTTATATATTTCACTTATTACATTGAATACTTGTCTCGGTTTCAAAGGTATACCAATGCATTTATATCATCAATCCTATGCTACATTATCACCATTAAAAGCCTGCTAACATTGCATAGTCATGGAGAACTCTGTAGGGTAAAAACGATTGAATTTATTTTCGTTCAAATCCGTATACAGTACATAAATATTAGTGTTTGTGAAGTTCTTCAAGCCACCTGACATGCTTTATGTTTATACTCTGCGCACTACCCAAATCTGTTCTTAAGAGATCCATATGGTATTTTTTTCGAAGTGGCCTATCAAAGTGTTCGATTAAGCATTACTTTTCTTTTCCCCTTACCTCAACTGTGTCGCCTTGGTAACAGGTCACGTGCTTCGGTGACCATTCATATCCTTTTCCAAAAGCTGGCAAAACGAATCAAAGTGTATCGTACAATTATATCAATTGTCAAACGAAAGCAATTGAAATTCTTACAACATCAGATGCGTGAACCGATAATAATAAATGTAATAGCATTAAAAGTAACAGTAATGTTAATATTAATGAAATAATGACTTTAATGATAAATAAACTACTGGGTAGCAACCAAAGTAACTAAGCTGGTATCAATGTTGGCCCTGTTAACATCGTAATACTAGTATGTGAGGAAAAACAACAACAAAACTAAATAATTGAAATGGTGGAAGTGGAAAAAGCTTAAATGATAGAGATTAACTCAAAATCATATATCTTGAAAACAACTGCAGCGATACGATAAAATGGATCCTTTGCAATTTCTAACTTAAATTCGTCAGATGAACTCTGTTCACTCATGTCAGGAACTTACTTGGATGAATTCCAGTGTTCTCTACCACAATTGTTTTGAACACAGGCGCTGTTTCACATTTTAGAGATGAAGCATTGCAAGATAATATTTTGCATGGTTTGCCGTGTATTTCGACGACAGTGCTTGAATTATCACATATGAAGCCTCGTCCCTGGAAAAATACATGGGTTCCACCTGCGACTGATCCGTTCCGGGGAAATATGGATTGTACCACAAAAACATACTCGAACTCTTTGAATTCCTCTGGAGTTACAGCAAAACCTTTTCCTGGCGTCACCACTTTAACGGGGAATATACCGGGAGCATGTCGTGGGGTTAAGCACGTGATTTGACTAGACGAAAAGCTTTGTATCACGCAGGTTCCGTCTCCCACCTTGACAACAGTCGTGTTCAGAAACCCGGAACCGGAAATAGCTATTATATCGCCACCACGGACTCCTCCTTGCAGTGGAGTCACACTAGTCACTTGAATATTCAATGATGAGTCATAATTAAAGGCACTGGAAACAGAAGTTGAACTACCGTCGACTGAGATGTTTACTGACACACTTCCGGCAGCGTGTGCACCTGTCGTGCACGTGATATGAGACATATTGATGCTTATGATTTCACAAGCAGAGCCGTCCAGGGAAACTGTGGCGCTGTCTTTCTTATCACCAAAACCACTGCCATATATGGTAATTTCTTGACCACCAGCTGTGCTTCCGCTGGATGGAGTGACTGACGTTGCAGTGATGATGTATGTGAAATTGAGCCTTTGATCGTTGCCAGCCACCCCTTTTCTTTCCACGGAGATCTTCACCTCGTGACTTCCGCCAGGGCCATAGTCTACCAGGCAAACAAACAAACAATAGGAAAATCTTTCATTGTATCTGATTAATAGAAAGAGCATTTTGTATACAAGGCCGCAGTTAAGTCATACTAGGGCCATTTATACGGGGAAACTGAATAAGATGAACTGTACTTTTATACAGATCTCGGGTTTAACATAAGAAGCAAACAGCTCGTATGAATGGTTCACGGCTATTTCGCTTCTTATTTCTGGGCATGGAATGGTTTTCATGTGAATGTTGCCTGTATCATTGGCATTCCAGCATTGCGCGTCGTATAATTAGGCATGTGTGTAGTATGCGTTTGCATTTTATACAAGATGCGAAAGTCGAGACTCCAGGCTGAGGACTTGTCTTATTTCCCTTCGAATTAAAAGCCCTTTTGTGTGCAGAAGCTCATTGTTGTTATTGTAAATAATATATCAATTTTCCGAAGCATCATAAACTACCATAGCTTCTTCGTCCGAGAACAAGAAATGTCCCTACTATAGGCGCTTGCTAGGTTAAGCAGGGGGCTTTTAAATTAATTGTTGACCATAAAAACAGCATTTACCTGCTCGACATGTGATGCTGTCAACAGCACTTGTTTGTATGACGCACTCAGATCCACCAATAGTGACCACATTTTCTTCATTGATTGTGGAAAATCCTGACCCACCCAGGGTGATAACTGTTCCCGTCCCAGGGGGGCCACCTGGACCAGAGGACGGTGATACAGATGTCAGCTGGGGTGTTTGCTCATTTGTATAGTTAAAAGAACAATTCATATTGTTACATGATCCAGTGATACCATTCACCTCTACCACCACCTAAAAAAAAATAAAAAAAAATAAAAAAACCAAAAAAATAACACTAATAATAATAATAATAATAATAATAATAATAATAATAATAATAATAACAAAAATCAGGCTCAAATTTTCAAAGATAACTGAAATTGCTACGCTCTTTCAATATTCTTAGATTCTTTTATTAGCTCCACCAGATGATGATACGCATATGTCAATTATGCAAAAATGTACACAAAGATCCGCCTATAGACGACTCATAGATTCATCGTTAAGATTGTCTAAATGCTATTAGTATTCAGGGGTGGGCAGAGGAAGGGAGGGGGTAGCGCTCTCCTTATCTAACGGAGAAACACGCAAATGAACCTTGAAAAACTTACAGACGCGATTCATTGTAAAGATTGTCTAAATTTTTTAGGTAATCGCGCAAGGCAGAGGGGGAGGGGGCTGGCGGCTGACGTAATGTAACGGAGAACCAGACGTAAATAGCGTTGCAAAATTTGTAGACGTGTTTCATCATAAACTTTGCCTAAATTCCTTAGGTAATCACGGAGAGAGGGGGTGGCGGCTGGCGGTACTTAATGGAGATCGAGACGTGAATGGACCTTGCTACATCTAAAAATAGTGATTCATTTACAGATTGCCTACATGCTCCTCACCTCTCCTGAAACACTAGGAGTTTGCAGGTATTCTCCAGAGAGCGGATCTAGGAATAACCCACCATCTTCAATAGTATTAGCCTCTATGGACACCTGGCTACCAGTCAATCCATCGCCTCTGACCTGCATTTGAGGATGGTTACCCCCACGCGTCAGCCATGAAACTTTCCAATTGAACCCTGCACAAGTGCCGTCTCTCTCCACCGCCATAATTCCTTCCTCGAATTCTTCCTCAAAGAGGTCTTTTAGCCGCGCTTCGGATATGTTAGCAGGAACGTCTAAATCGGTTACAGAAAGAGAAAGAGTACAGTAAAGTCAATTCAATTTAAGTTAAGTCAAGTAAATTAAAGCATAGTAGAGGAGAGTAGAGAAGAGTAGAGAAGAGCAGAGGTAAGGAGGGTAGAATAGAGCGGCAGAGTAAGGAGGAAAAGAAACAATAAATTAAAGTAAACTAAACTTAGTAAACTCGATCAAATTAACTTAATTTGATTTACGTCAACTAGGAAACTAGTTCAAAATTTAGGACTAGGAAAAGTCAATGTTCTCTCATCAGTTTCACCCACCTCTCAATACTTTTCCGTTATATTCAATTTCAAAGGTTCCTCGGACTCGAGGAGAAGCTTTCTGTATACGTGTGATTTGAACATTTGAGGTAAGTCCTTTTACAGTATACGTCGCTTTGTCCTTGCTGCTGTTTCCTTCGAGAGCATCTACAACAGCAAGCAGTGGAAGAGGGGAGCCACACTTTGCAGGGAGGAGAGAGATGGTCCAGTTGTTACCAGTTTGTTCGACCTGGAAATCTTTGATGACAAAACCATTGGGCATGGCACCACTTGTTTTTCGCATCACTGTAAAAAAAGGTGTCACTTTAACTCAAACAGCATTTCTAAGTAAATCATGCCTTAGTGGTTGTCAACGGAAACTCAGGCTGGGATTTCTATTGAGGCTTATTATGCATTTAGATGCAGATATGAATGAAAGCCAATTAAGAAATGGTAAAAGTGCTAGCGTGCAACCATCGAGTTATGGATGCTCGCTGGAGGTTGCTAAACACGAAAGAATAATCAAAAGCTAGAGAAAGCATTTCCATTTGCCTTCGGTTGAGTCATCGGTACACTAGACGAGTTGATGTATGCTGTCATCTGCCCGCGCGTAAGCAATCATGCCTTTAAAACACTTGCCTTTAAATTCCTTTTTCGCTGAAACACCGCAACCGTTCTCCGTCTTAAGGTAAATTGGAAAACGTTTTTTGTTGTTATTCTGAATGGCACCTTTGAACTTGCTCTTAATATTAGTCAGAGTAAATTCTTTGAGGGAAAACTATAGCTGAAACTATAAAAAAAATATATTGGTTTGAAGACCCAATTGTTTCTGTACTCAAATGAAATTCATTTTGCAATTCCAGCGTAATGTGTCCGTAACTCAACTAAAATTTTTAATCGATGATATGGAAACTACACAACAAAGCTGTCTCGAATCTGAGCATGTTTCCTAAAAAACTTGATTGAATTTAACATCAGTTCGACTAAAAAGGCGATAACACAATGCTAATTGATAAATTTCCATTTCAAAACAGACTTTCTCTTCTATAAAAATACACAAAATGTACTTTAAATCTTCGTTCATTCGGTTTTTCTTCTGCTGATCCTAGCCGCGAAGTAAACAGTGATAAATTTCTCCGGGGCAAATTTGTCCCTAGTTCTTTTGACTTTTTTTTCTTCAAAACGACAACTGAGTATTTTCTTCAAATTCCACTTCTCATTTGCACATTTTATCGGTGCATTTTACTGACAGGAGAGGAGATTTGCTGAATTTGTCTCGATTTTTAAACCACGCTAGCTCGTGTTTTGGGCGTGCACCCACGGGCAAATGGTGGATGGCTAACTGACCAATCAGAGCGAGCGCTTTACTTTTGCTTTGCTATAAACTGAATTATTTTCTGCGCCGTGTTTAACCTTCCATAAGGGGAGATGTAACGTCTTGATTGGGTAATACCCTGAGAGCGTTGTCCGAAAACCTCGCACGAAATGCTTCTTTTGTGAGCGCATTTAATTGATCTTTTTACCTGTTGCCACCAAACCAGTCTCCTTAATATAAAGCCTGGGATACAATATACCTTCCGACTGATTTATTCGTTGATCTATTGCCCTGTCCTAGGCTACGTTTACACGGCATCGGACGAATTTTCATCCGCTTGAAAATTCGTGCGTTTAGGCGTTCGGTGCACACTGAATCACCTTAACAGTAGGAAAATTAAGACGTACCCTACGAAAGTCCGTTTGAACAGAGCGAAAATATAGAACGTTTCCGTGTGAACGAAACGGCCGTTCAAATTTTTCAGCCGGCAGAGAATTCGTCCGGTGCCGGGAAGGTAGCCTTAATATTTTATGTATATAGACTGCAAAGGTAGTCTATAAGCATCAGTGGTCTACTACTTATAGGAATTTTGTGAGAGGCTATGTCAAAGATACGAAAAAACAAGTATGATACTCTGTAGTTAAAAATAATTCTCTTTTTATAAAAATGTACATCATATAAATCTATCGAACGAACTCACCAACTAAAGGTGTCTTTCCAATCCATACTTCATCAATATAAATATCACGATCTCCTTCCGCGTTTTCCAAGCGTACAATTTCAATGCTTCTCATCAATACATTAGGGGCAATTTCGTCGTATTCTGTCTCTATATATTCCCACACATTTATACACGAAAATCCCCATTCTGACCTTGGGACGAATCTTTGGAAACTTAGTGTGTGGTATCTGTACTGCGGATTGTATTCACCGCCGTAATTAACTTGAAATTTCACCTGATCTTTTACAGGTCCTCTGTAAGCAAAACAGAACTGGAAGAAAGAGAATAAAGATAATAACATTCAACCAATCAACAGCAACAGAAGGGGTGAGTAAAAAAGCCTTGAATGTGTGCTTTCACTTTTGGATCTTACTTTATCGATTGCTTTTTCAAACCTTTGATGCAGGAAACTCATGCCAAGGCCAACTAATCAGGGGCACCCAACGAGGATATAGTTCAAAACACGTATTTTAGTATTCAAACGGTAGATATAGGCATATTTTTATCCCCTAAAAACTTTTCATCTGTTCGGATTTCCTAGCTGAAAGTCTAGTGATTCTAAAATTATAGGGATAAAAACTTACCTTCTCGAAAATTTCAGCCAGGAAAAAGCTCCCGAAAATTCTAGATGGCCTTTTTTAGGGTCAAAATCCGTTAAAAATGGTAATTATACCATTTTGTAGATCTTCGAAAAACCTAGGAGAGGCAGGCAAGCAAGAAATTTTACAACAAATGCTTCGAAAATTCTAGATCTCAAATCGTCTTCCGAACAGGTATTTTCCCGAAAATTGCCGTTGGGTGCCCCTGACTAATGTTAAACAACACTGAAATTCACGCAAATAATTTCAAGAACGTCATTTCATCTGGTTTCCCAAGTTATTCACTATTCAACGACATTCCAGTCTGAATCTTTTCTTTTTAGTTCCCAATGGCGTAATCGACGCCCGAAATGCTGTCATGGTTTACCAGAAGCCAGGAAAAGTCGATTTCTTTTCTTACTTACATATTTGTACGTTGAGATCTTGTAAGATGTCTGAGGTTCTTCTCGAAAGTGTTCTGTATAAGAGTACCCAGCTCGCCAAATAATCTTGTCTGGGTTCAGTAAAGATTTTCTCCCACAGTATGGCTCAATGTCGCAAGTTCTCCGTCCGGATTCAGAACCGATGACTTCGCCCTCGTATTTTTGATAAAACCAGTATCCCGCTAGATAAGATTAAAAAAATGGTAAAAACAATTTTTAACACAATATTGCGCACAATTAACTGTACCATAAATGATGTGTACAGACCTATTGATTGAAAAAATTAAATTGCGCCGATTCCCATTTCTTCTTAAGCGAATAGTCCCCAGCGCCAAAAGCCTGATTAAACTAGCGTTAACCAGGGTGAAAGTCTGGTTCAACCAACCACAGGCTTACCAGGCTTTTACGGAGATAAAATTGCAACTCTGTAATATTTCACTTACTTTTTGGTGAAGAGTCGCATTTTCTGGAAAACCAATCCTCCAGTACCTGCTCTATGCTTTGTTTTGATGAACTGGGCGTTAAAGCATTGGAGGGTAGGTCAGGTTGGTCAAAAACCAACTGGAAGTCCTTTGCCGATTGCCCTTGAACCGAGACAGTCATATTCAACATTAAGGCTTGGCTGTCAGCAACTGTTCCGTTCAGGGCATCAATTCCTCGTGGATCACTGGAACAGAACAACACTCGAAACACTGTAGTATTTCCTACCGTTGTGTTCGCCAATGTTACGTTAATTGTGACTCTGCCCTGGAACGCCTGCATTTCGTTAAGTCTTTTTTCTAGAACAGTGCTGTTTGTGTATTGTAGAGACATTGTGATTGCCGCATCGTAATAAGATAGAGTAAAATTGTCAGAACAGTTAGTGATATTGTTCTCCACACAATTCAGCGTCTCTATAGATATTTGCTGTTCTTCGCAGGCTTCTTCATTTTCATCCCAGTTACTAAAGTCCAAAATCTGAAAAAACAAACAAAAAGAACACAAACGAGTTAAACAGTTTGATGAAAACATTGTTGAAAAGACATGCTGTTTAAAGACACAGTCAATTCGTTATTTTTCACCGGAAGAGGTGGAACATCGCTAACGATTTTATATATTTTTTCTTTTATTTTTGATTGTTTATCTCAAGTCTCGCTCCGAAGCCTACCTTCTACAGCAACATAGTACCCTAGAAAGAACCTTCGGGGCTATAACACTTTATCGCATCGATGATTTTAGAACGAAAATCAAAGGTTTCAACATGTTTTTCAACTTGTAAGTGCAAAGGAGGCTACATAAGAATTTAGTGGAGAAAAAAAACTGAATCTTCAGCACTTGGCCATTCTGTTGCTCCCTACGTGCAGATGGTAAAGCCAGGGGCACCCAACGAGAATATAGTTCAAAACCACTCAAACATAGGATTTTTTAACATACTTTAGTATTTAAACGGTAGATTATAGGCATATTTTTATCCCCTAAAAATTTTACATCTGTTTGCATTTCCTAGCTGAAAGTCTAGTGATCCGAAAATTATAGGGATCAAGACTTACCTTTTCGAAATTTCAGCCAGAAAAAAGGCTCCCGAAATTCTAGCTGACCTTTTTAAGGTAAAAATCCGTTAAAATGGGCAATTACACCATTTTTTAGATGTTCGAAAATCCTAGGAGAGGCCGGCAAGCAAGAAATTTTACAACAAATGTTCCGAAAATAATAGACCTCAAATCGTCTTCCGAACAGATATTTTCCGAAAATTGACTTTGGGTGCCCCTGTAAAGAAAGGATTGGCACAGTTGGTTATTGCACGACCTTCTGTGCGAGAGGTCAGTCCTGAGATCGATTCTAATTCTTACCTCAAATCCTTGCTTCTACTTTTCCCCCCTTCTTTGTAGCTTTAAGTAGCTTTAAATAACCGAAAAACGGAGAAGTGACGGACGCCAACAAAAGGAACATTTTTTGTTCTAATTTATAATACTAACAAGAAAAAAAAGAAATCCGTCGTAAATATAAACTATACCCGTAAAGACAGTCGACATTCTTATTTTGCTTCTGATACAGCTACATTTTCTTTGTCCTTATTAAAACAGATAACAGCTCGGAAATGAACTTGTTGCAACTGTGAAGGCTTATCTTAAAGAGCCACAGGAAACGAACCTGTTTCTCCCAGTCAATCGTTGAACTTATTGTAATCTGCTGCTTCTCGTCTACACCTGCGCCAACTTTTGTGTTGGTGTGTTCAGTCTGGTCTAGTCGAACCCGTACAGTCAGATGATCAGCATCGGAGTATGCCTCAAGGTAATAAGGCTTGTTTGCCTCTAAAGGGATTCTCTCAGACGCTTGAACACTGCCACTGTTCCAGTTATTTGTTGAAGATGTACAGCTTGCAATCTTTGACTGAAAAATTTTTACAAAGTAACAAAAATTGTTACAAAAAAAAAGTAAACAAAGTTGTGGAATTAATTAACTATGTATACTCGCCGATGAAGTCCTGTCCTTACCGGTGCTTGTTTATTCTTCTCATATTATACTGGCGATCTTTGGTCTTCATAAAGGAGGTTCTACGGCTACGGCCGGGTGCATTAAGTATGCTAACTGAATTGATTTAACATGTGATTCCAAACATTTTCATAAGTGACACATATGGGCATTGTAGATGATTCATCTCATAGTAATACTTGATGGGAGATTTCTCGCACAGGTCTTCAATCCTATTCCGGGAATCTTTTTACCCCAACAATCCTTTGGTTTCCATAGTCCTACAATTCTCTACCTAACCCTAATACAGCCACACTTGTTGCCGTTAAAGCAAGAGAACCTAATCATATTCCACAACTGTGGAACGTTTGTATGAAGTTTCCCTGTGAAACCCTTTTTTCGCACTTAAGTAATGAGGAGAGCTTGAGGCTGCCTCAAAGGAGGGTGATTGGAGAAAGGTTTTGAATACAAGCTAAAGAGAAAGCCGGGTAATGGTATCCTTTCTTGGGACTTGAAACTAATTAAAATTATACTGTAGATTCATCATGATCAGTACCTTTCCAGACGGCTCCCCGGTGTGACTTAGGTACAACTCACTTTTACCACCGGAAGAGATAATGTAGAAAGTGCCGTTGTTATTGCTCTTTACTGTGAAGAAACCAGACATCTTTGAAGCGGAACCCGAAGTACGGTTGATGTTCAGGTCCGAAGATTTGCTCTCGGCGCAAAGTATTGCGTAATAGTCAGCGTTACCAGGATTCAAGGAACCGATATCCGGGAGATTTGGTTCGACAGTAGTCTGCCAGTATTCACAAAGAAGACCTCGAGAACCTTGTTAACAAAAAGTAAATTAGAATCGTACGAAGTATAGCCTGAGTACTAGGCCTTAAGGGTGTTTGTGTGTCTGTGTGTCTGTTGGAAGGTGGAAGGTGGAAGGGGGAAGGGGGGGGGGGAGGGGATTTAGGGAAGACGGAGAAGGGAGGCCTGACACAAGGGCGTTCGTTGAGCTGTGTAAAACTACAATCTCTTCGAAAAGAGGCTAAAAAAATGCGTCAAAAAGCCAAAAAAGGTGCTGCTTTGATACAACAAGAAATTGTGGCTTCAGAATAACTCGTCGTGAAATATGACCTTTTCTTTAGAAATCCTCTGTCTTGCTACGCAGCCAACGAACATAATAAGTTCTCCAAGACGTTTTTTGGAAGCGCGAAACAATCGTTGCTGAAGGCTATGATGTATTCTGTGTTGTTGTGTGGGAAAATTCCGTCACTGCCAGTAGTTTCGTTGTTTTTTTTTTCCGTCCCTTGTTGATTTCGTCTTCGTTCAACGAGCAGCTTGTTCTTCTGCATCTTGCAAGTATCATAGTGCTTATTTTTCTTTTTTAAACAAGGCCCTATACCGATATTCCCGTCACCAAAATACAACGTGTGAACACCAACACACTTTTATAATTAACGTATTATTCAACCGTTAAAGTAAGACGTAACGTACCTGGATATATGGTCTTGACTTCACCACGTGGTCCAGTTCGGCATATGATCGTTGTGTATGTAGACGATATAACTGTGCATTGTACACCTATTAATGTCAACAAACCACATTATTCCTTAGTCTTTAAAAAAGTGACCATTTGTAACAAATTGTAAAAATAAGACCTCCTTTTTTTCGTCCCAAAATTGACAATAGTGCATCACTCTTTTTAGCCCGATAGTCAGCGCGAGGAAATCATTTGTAACAAAGCGCTCTGCTACCGTAGCACAAAACAAGAGGAAATCTAGTCATTTTTTTTAAGATTTCTAAAAAACTGACATCTACTAGCAAGTCTGTTTACCATTTCATCCCCTTGTGTTGTGCAGTGGTGAGAGCACTCGCCTCCCACCACACAGTAATTTTTAATGAGTCATAATAACTCCTCTAGTGGGGCTAATTTAACTCCTCACAGTGGAGTTATTTTTTTGGGAGTTATTTTAACTCCAAAAAGGAGTTTAAAGAACTCTTTTTCAGGAGTAAAAGTGACCCCAGATATTGAGGAGTTAAAATAACCCCCAAAGAGGAGCTATCCTGTACGTAAAATTTTTACTCCACTTTCAGAGTTATTTAATTAACTCCAAAAAGGGTAAAAACAACCCATGTGATTAGTAAAAATAACCCCATTTCGGAGTTATTTTAACTCCAGACTGGGAGTAAAAAGAACTCTTTTTCAGGAGTAAAAATGACCCCAAATTCGGAGTTAAATTGAGAGTTAAAGTAACCCCCAAAAAGGGGTTATCCTGTACCTAAAATTTTTACTCCATTTTTGGAGTTATAATAACTCCCTAAAAATTACGGTGCAATGTGGCTCGGGTTAAAATCTCGCAGTCGACGCGTTATAATTATGTGGGTTGAGTTGTTGTTGGTTTCTCTCCTTTGCTCCTAGAGGCTTTTCTCCGGGTACACCGGTTTCCACCTCTCCTCAAAAACCATTTCCAAATTCCAATTCGACAAGGAACCACTTAGTGGATGTGCTACCTCGAAATCCTTAAATAAAACTTGTAAATCGTTGTTTCTATTTATTCATTTTAAAATTGATTTAAAAGATCAAAATTGGCAAGGGTCCTTTTTCACAGCTGTTGCTTTCTTTTCCATCATACCTGCAACAAACACCTTGACATTGTCGGGATTGTCACTAAAACCCACTCCGCGTATTGTGATCAAGGTACCGCCATAAATACTTCCAGCTGAAGGCGAAAAACTTTCAATATCTAAGAAAAAAGTTAATGAGGAAAGTTAGGTTAAAGGAACCCCACTATGCCTTGTTACGATCACCAACACTACTGAAGCAACCGCCTAAAGATACCACTTTTTATAAAAGTTGATAACTTATTGTGTGGGCCCTAAACGTGAGGAAAAAGCAGTGATTTATAGTCGTACGTTTTATCTTAGTCTATTTTCTCCTGTATTGTTCGCAAACGTCTTTTATATCATTTCACTAAAACGTTTCAATGCGGACAAAGAAAATGGGGCATGCATGGGAAATGTATCGTGGAATTTTGGTGTAATTGCTGTTTTCGTGAAAGTGGCCTTAGAAATTACAAAAAGAGCTCAGCATTGCGTCTTACCCCGACTCACACGATTTCGTGCTTTTCGAAATCGTCCAAGTCTACTTACGTTTAGCCGATTGTAGAGTGTATAAGGGTCATTTGCAAAACGAATGAGCGATAAAACCTTTCCGGAAATATCCAAAAAGTAACAAATTTGTCTGCGTAAAGTCCAGTCTTCCGTTCATGCATAATGTATACCCTTTTTTAGCAATTCCAGGATATCTCGAAATTCCTCTTACAGATTTCTGTGAAACGTCGCATAGGGAAAGGCAAGCACCCATAAAGTATGCGCTGTGAGATTCAAAGATGAAAGGTGCCGCTACAGAGTTATTGTGTCGAGCCACCTTAAAAGCGCCAGCTATGGTCTTGGGTTGCCAAACACAGTGACTGAAAATTCTACCCATGCCAGGCTTCGACCTCCTTTCATCGCGTGTACTCGCTGAAGTGTCTATTTGATACAATCACTTCTCTGCTTTTCACAAACATGCGAATTCTGAAGTTCAAAAGACAACTGACGATTGCATTTTTCGCTGCCGTCAATCATCTTAACGTACCTCTTAGGAAACAAAACTTTACTTTAACGGGTTCAAAAGGACATGGTTTGTGATTTGTGATTGGTGGATTTCGATCCGTTCTGTGTGTTTCTGTGTTTCAAGGTTCATTGCTTGTGATCGTAAGTATGATTGACGGCAGCGAAAAACGCAATTGTGAAGGCGGCTTTTGAACTTTAAAGTTCGCATCTTTGTGAAAAGCGCAGTAAAGCGAAACGGCGACTCAGGCCTTAGCGAGATGATGACTTGTAGGCGAAACGATCGGATGCCTGTTTACTGTGTAATTACTTCGCGTGAACATATTCGATGCAGTACAATAATATAAATTTCCACCAAGGCAGGAAAAACGTAGGACTTAAATCTTAAAACAGAACGTAAAATTAAAGTCGCCTAGTTGAAAAAAAAAAGGCTTTTTGGATTATCTATCTCCGTCATTTTGGGAGTCATGAATAACGGCTGTCAAGTACCCTTTCAATGCAACTGTAAGATCACTGAATAGACCTTTCCACGGTTTTTTTTAAACCTTTGAATGGAAAGTTAGGGAAAATCCATCGACTCCCCTGAAAAAAAAAAAGTTTTTAAATAAGTAAAATTGCCAAGTTTTGAAGAGATTTGTTGAAAACTTGCGAAGATATAGTTCGTCAGAGTCGCGAAATTTACGGACGTTTGTATGGTGGGGCACAATAATTTGCCCCCCCCACCATACAAACGTCTGTCACCATACAAACGTCTGTCCCCCAACGCGGAACCTGGTCCCAGGCTATCGAAAACTTGGCAGGTTGACTAATTTGAAGGGGCTCTTTTCAGTCGTGTCGACGGATTTTCAATCACTTGTCCATGTCAAAAGTCGAAAAAACCGTGGAAAGGTCTGTTATGCAAGGTATAGGCACCTGAGTGGGTTTGGTAAATATAGAGCTGCTGATCCCTATCAACCCGCCACAAGTTCTTGTCAACTTGAGATCTTCCAAGTCCAGAGACCAAATAGGAAGCTGTATGGGAAGCTATTAATGAGAAGGAAAGAAAAATAGAAAGAAATGAAATGAATCCGTGCCACTGATGAACAGACTAAAGAGCGTAACCGACGCTAAATCACTGGCTCGATACGTTAAATCTTGCTTATCTGGGGGCCAATTTTATAACATTTTTAAAAATGGAATTTAGAAGTGTGCCCATCTACTTCGTAAATTAGGCACTGGTAATAGTTTTATTAAATTATTGACCCCGGAGGAAGAAATAGCCGAATTACTAACTGAAAAATATCACAAGATTACACAAAAATGCCACAAGAAGGATGTCAACTACTTTTGAAAGTATAAACTATATCGTAAGTATTAAGAATATCATTCTGTTCTTATCCTGAAATTTCCGTGGAGTTGGCAAATTACTGCTTCGGAGAAATTTTAAGCAAAGGTAATGATGCTGTATGTAACATGTCCTGTACCGTATCGTGCAGATCTTGTCCAATTGTAGTTAGAAAGAAAGAGGATCATTTCCTTACCTGCTGTACGTGATTTCGGGAGACATTTGAATGATCCCTGGCAATTTGGTACCCAGCTGCAGTCATCAGGCAAATTAGCTCCAAACCTGTCAATATAAAAGAGAGTGACTAGAGAACCGACAGTTTGACTATCGGGACAATAGATGGATCAATGTATCATAGCCAATAACATCATGGCTTAACTGACAGACGACCATTAACATCGCGACTTGACCAATCAAGTCAATAAACAGAGTTTTTTTTTATAACATCAACTGACGTGGTAAAACTCTCTTTGACTTTGAAGATGACTACCGCACGGGTTGTCGAAACGTCAGTCACTGTCAACAACTGAGTCTTATACAGAACAACGTTCAGTGGCCGGACGATCATTCAAGGGTATTTACGAAGACGCGCACTTGCAGAGTCCGGCCATGGGCAAGAAAGTCTGGTTATCTAATGCATCATTGTTCCTTTCGTCGAAACCGATACAGGTAAACGGGTACTAAATGTCGCATTTCAATAAAATGATTTACGTTTTCTCTATCAAGTCCTAAGAAAGCATTCAATATAAAACATCTCCTGACCTGTATTCTCTGACAATGATGTCCTTTCAAATAAGCTCGATAAGGTTCATTTCCTATGTATGCCACACTGAGTTGTCCCTTTTTCAAAACATTTTTACTATCTGACTATTTTCTTTGTCTGGAGGTTTGAGGCTAATGCGGAAAGCTGGGAGGTGAATGGCCTAAAGAGTAAACCGTCATGACAATACTTACAGCTCGTTGGTTTCTTCATTAAAGGGATTACACTCGAGGCCAACATAAACCCTGCAGGAGATTACAAAAACGATTCATTTAACTTCAACTATAAATGCTTGGGCCACTATAGAAAAAATCAAATCGCTAGTTAAAATAATCATTGACATTTTCGAGATATGTTTCGTTAATGTTAAAAGAAACAATTGAGAAACAAGAAAAGTAATCAAGATCACTCTTACCTTGTTATCTCGTTACTAGCTGGCGAAAAACCAGGGGAGAGCCTACTGAATTGAGTTGTATGAATTTTCCCAAAGATTTCAACTGGTGTTCCTGTGCAGAAAGGCAAAGTTAAAAAAATTCTCAGATTTTGAGCGCAATATATGCTCTACATTAGGAGAGTACTTCATCGCAATGAGCGCAAGACCTCTATATAGGGTTCAAGCAGGCATTGACGGTTTCCTCTTGTCTACCTAATGACTACATGCAGTTCAGCTGTCGCATGCTTTTCAAGTTATAAGTTATAACGAAAGTTGAATTCCGATCTGAACGTTTAGAAAACAAATTCCTGAAAATTTCTTTTGATTAACAACTTGTGAAAATTGTGATGCTTTACTAAGACTAGATAAAATCAACAATGAAAATGCTTTTGAAAAAGAAACAGAAGACTGGATCTAGCGATAATCGGCGTAAGAACATCTGCGCCTCTATGCGTGGAAGTATTTAGCACCCAAGTACGTTGAGGACGTTTTGTTGCGTCTCCTAAACTGGGGACAGCGTCGTAATTCCTATGTAGTCATCCAAGTCACGAAAAGTTTTAAGACGGAATCCATCAGGAAATTGAGTAATTTTAATTTTCAGTGGACAAAAACCTTGTACCAGATTAATTCAAACGGTATCGCATTCTTTTGTACATCTTTGAAGGGCTAGAGATGTAAGAATTGTGAAAACACAAGTAAAATTCTGAAAATTTCATGTCTAAGATATCATTTTGTGAAATTTGACATTTCTATTCTCGGGCTCTCATAAGAAACTTTCTTTGGCGTTATTACAGATAACTTATTACATCTATATAGCCTTTGAAAAATGTAAAAAAGAATGCGATATCGTTTAAATTATTCTGGTACAAGGTTTTAGTCCAATGAAAATTAAAACTACTCTGTCAAGATTTCCTGATGGATTCCGTCACAACCTTATGCAGGGCAAATGCTGTGCAGTGCTTTCATTCTCAGTTATTTTAAGACCCTGCCGGATGCCTGGTCTGGCACCTCCAATCGTACTTGCACTTTCCCGATTGAACTAATCCTGTCGCGATTATCTTTGAAGACGTTTCCAATTTTTTATTACAATTAGCACGCGAGATAAGGTTGTAGGGTGTGGTTAGCGGATATGCCTGTGATTACTACCTGGTACACCTGCTCGTGGAGAAAAATCCTCCATTGTTGGAGTGCTCCATCTGTAAAACTAAAAATGAAAATTGAAAATAGTAAACACACGTCTATTAAAAGAGCGTACTCAAAACACAAATTTCTACGTATTAAATAATCAGTTGATTTGTAACCAATACGTACGTTACGTCAAAAGAAGATGATAACACCTTAACCGTTAAAATTTGATAGTTGTTCAGATTTAGATAAGTTGCTGTATCAAAGGTATGTCTAAGGCTGCCATGCTGATAGGTGCTGACAACTAAACAAAAAAACTGTCTATTCGTTTCACCGTGATGAGCTACTTGATTTATGTTCACGCTCAAAGTTTAGTGGTGAGTTCTTCTTGCTGAATTTTGATATCAGTACATCTTCCTTTTTGGACACTTACACTTGGCTAAACATAGAAGAGGAACTAATCGCAGAGGCCTTATAATGAATTTCTTAATGGATCAATTAGGCCAGGTGTCTGTGTTTTAAACTTCACCGTTTCACCTCTCGGCTTTACGGGCGCGAAAGTCAAATTTGATAATCAAAACCTAAAGAATAAAAGCGGTTCTATCTATTACGAAACAGTCATTAGCGAAAAAAAAAAAAAAACAAACTGATGATTTTGTATTATATTATCTGTAACACTGCTAAAACCTGCATCCTAAACAACAGCTATCCAGGCAAGCTAATTATCAGGACTTTCGAGAAGCAAGACCCAGGGGCGTTTTTATGACAAGAGAAGAGCTGTTTCCTCGTATGAGAGAGAGAGAGTACAGCAGTAAGAAGTTAACTAGAAATATGTGAACTGCAGAGCCTCTCGAAGCAGAGGCTAAAAACAGTAAGACGATAAATCTACTTTAATATTTTCTCTCTCTTTTTTTTAATACTATCTTACCATAAAGATACAATTTTTTGGTCTGCCTGGGCATTTATTTGTAACTTCTTTTCCGTTTACAGACATCACGAGGTTATACTCGCCTTCATCGGCATCTGGAGGAGGCCTGTGAGTAATATGTTAGAAATGATACCATAAATTGCCGCTTATGAGTCCGTAGACTTGATACAAATCGACCTCTCGTAAGTTCTCTTAAATTCGCAGCAAGCGAAACGAGCGAAAAAAGCGAGCGAAGCGAGCTTCAAAGAGGTTGCGCAGCGACCTTGCAAGCGAGCGACAAAGTCGCCAGGTCTTTAAAAAGGCAGAAATAACCAGGGGAAAAAAAAATGAAGGAACGTTAGAAAGTCTTATAAGCCGTGGGCTTATATATCATCCTAAGGGGTTTTAAGAAGGCTTATAGAGGGGCTTATATGCAGGGGAGCTTATATTTATAAACGGAATAGAAAAAGCGCCTCGGAACAAGCTATTAGCAGTGCTATGCAATGGGAGGTATGTTTTCTTGCTTACATATAAATTGACCAACAACTAAGCGGGGAGGAGGTGGGGAGCTTATATGAGTTAGTCTACAGTCACACAAATACAGGAATGTCCTCAACCTTTGCATCTGAAAAGCGGATCCAAAATAAGGACAAAACTCTTTTTGAGAATCCAAGATTACAGATTATTGATGTCACATTCTTTGGATTTCGTTGCGACGAAAGAAACGACAATTCCGGACCATGAATTCTTGAGCGTGCTAGCAATCTTGGAGCTAACTTCTGAGATTGTGGTGGGCCAAATATTTTTACAAGAAATCGCTTACCATGCATGTGTTCCTCATTTTCGATCCGCGCTCCCCAAAACGCACAGATCGTCTTAAATATCGAATTTAGATTTGATCTCAAGAATTCATTCGGAATGTGAATTATTTAGACTCAAAATCGACTTTTTGGATTATAGCAGAAAAAAGCAAAATCTGTTGTTAAATCAAAGAATCCGTTTTGGATTTTCCCAAGGAAACTACCTCGAAGCAGTTGTCTAATATTCGCCCCGCCATTTTCTTTCAATTTACTTACCTTATTTCGCATCCTACTTTCGCCTTTGATACGTCCGTTTGTATGATATCACAATCTACACAATGCTTGCTCGAACAAAATGTTATTTTGTTTCCTAACGTAGGGTTTTGAAAGCTAAACTGATCATTTGCAAAATCTAAGGGGAAAAAGAAAACAAATTTCAGTAATGTTTATGGTCAGTAACCTTGCTTTTTTAAGCCGCGAATTTGTACTTTTTAGGAAGCTATAACTAAGCTTAAAACTCACTCAGCTAAGCTATAAACTCACGTATACCCTGCAAACTCTTAGGAACCGTCTGTCCGTGTAAGAAAACTAACTGACCCATCAGAAAAGATGTGGTTCAACTCGTAATTTTCCATTGTTGAACTTGTCTCTTCTTGCAAATCATCGTAACTACACTTCCCTTACTGCTAGCTAAGTCGCACTGTAAGAGATCAAGAAACGAGGAATAAAATATTTTTCACTTACCTCTTCCAAAAACATACACCTTTGTGCCCCCAGAGAGGCTCCCACGGGTTGGAGAAATGTACCAGAGCACGGGTTCTGTTGATAAAATTGAAACACTTCTATTATAGGACTTTAAGCACAAATTAAGATTATATACTTTTTGCTGGATTTTTCAAAACGCTGCTGTGCTAGCCTTGCGGCTCATCCATTCAGACGTTTTTCTTGCAATATATAAAGGTGACAATACGTGCTGATAACTCGTTAGCCTGTGGACGGGCTAAGTTATCCAAAGCGGCTACAGACGTTATTGTTCAAATGGACAGACACCCCATGTCAAGAATGAGTTAATTACTTGAAAAAAAATAAGTAGATACCATATGGGTTTCGATTCATCTCTTAGTGTCCGTATTGATTGAATTTTTACAATCTTTATCAATTTTATGAATAACGAGAAGTTAATTTAAGTTATTAGCTTGTTATTGGCTTGTCTACGAATTAATCGACGGTAATTCAAATTATTACATAACGACGCTCTGACAAACAGCGAAATCAATCTCAAACAAACAATAACCTTTTTAGACAAAAATGACTCACTTTTACAAAGAGGATGGAAAAGGTAATGATTTCAGTGGATTAACTGTTTGGTTTGCTTATGATCTTTAATTTGAAAAATCAGTATTTAAATGTTGATGTTAAGTATTCTTCTAATTCGTTGGACGAATCTGGCAAAGGTCTAAATCCATGGCAAAGCAATCTTCTGTCCAGAAATTGACTAATGATATTTAAATGGTCAATAATCGAATCAAAATCACTCATTATAAGCGCATTTGGAAAGTAAAAGAAAGGAGTCAGATAAAAGCTAAAATGTACAATGAAAATCGGGTTGTGTTATTGTTACAAAAGCAATGAGGGAGGTGCTGCAAGGATTAAGCATTTATTTGTTTACTTGTTTCCCATGGCAACCACAAACAGTTTCGCAAAATAAGATAATGGCACTGATGTGCTATGATTTCCTTGAATGCTCATTTAAGGCAGTGTTTCTTGAAGGCTTTGTTAGTTAGTAACGGCGCTGTGACTCCTCGACAGGCTGGGTTATTACGATTACATATAAAACGATAGTTGCCATAGAACAACAATCATCAACACTAGTAACTAACTTATCACAGTTTGACAGGTTTAATTAGTATTTTGTCTGATCGGATTTTTACCCTTAAGCAATATTAACATTTCATAAAGCTTGCGAGTTGACTTGCGTTCAGAAAATAAACTGTGTGTTTTTGAAAACCCCAGCTGCGTCGATGTGTCAAAACCAGATAAAAAATCCGGAGCAAGGCATGCACTGAACAAGACAATGCAAGGTTGTAAGGACCTATGATTTGGAATGTGTAAACATCTATCTATAGACAGGATCCAACTGAGAACTGAGTGCATTTTGAGGGGAAAAGATCTCTCAACTTTTTACTTCATTATTCGCATATTGGGCTGTGCATTTGATTTCGTATTGTTTGGCTGACTTTACAAAACTTGAATCAAAGGAACGACCAAAACGTTAAGCAGCTTCAATAGGACCTTAGCTGACCTAACAATTCCAAAAACCTTTGTCACAAAGTACAAGTAATAGACTTAAAAGTTTAATAACAACTTTATTAAAAATTCTCAAAGCTAGCATGAAATAGGAAAGAAAGCAACACCAATGACAACGATCGCAACCCTGGTCTTCGAGCCGGTGAAAAACTATGAAAAAGCTGCTAAATGTCTTTAGAGACAGTTATCTCAGACATATTATTTAAGACACACTCTTTCCTAAAACAAACAGCTAGAGAGGGATACTTTAGAGCTGACATTTCAGTCTAGCGTTAGCCCCGCCAACTCTAGAGCGTCGAGAGCGAAAGAGAGAGAGAACTCAGCGGTAAATCCAACTGCGTCGATCTGTTAACGTCAAGTGTTAACCACGGTCTGCGGCAAAGGATGAAAAGACGAAGGAAACTGTAAGGACATATGACAGTCACTGTAGTTTGTGCAAACATTTTGGCGTCTGGTGAGAACTGAACGCATTCCCGAGAAAAAAGAAAAAACCTCAGTCTCCTCTTTATCATATGGGCACTTTAATCTGAAACAAAATTTGGATTTGATCAAGTATTATATATTTTTTTGACTAAGTCGATTATCGCTCGATTTTTTTAAAAAGAAAGTTTGTAAGTTTGTTAAACTTCATTTCCCTTGCCCCATCTAACACACCTTATAAAAATCGCCTCATTAAAGTACAATTTATTAATACTGTCAGAAAGACTACAAACTCAGTATAAAAAAAGCTATCAACATTAATTCTGGAAAAAACCTGGAATAAAGATCACCCAGGCAAACTGATGGTAGCCGTTTGAGTGACGTAAGTCCCCGGCAAAAAAGTCTGAAAACAACTCTTTCTAGTTTCCGGTCTCTTTCGTAAAGAACTAAGAGCTCTTTACGGACTGCACGCTCCTATAGTAAGCCGCTAGTGTGTGTCACAAAGAACTCAAACAAAAACTCACAAAATTCAATTTTATCTACCGATTGAGATAAAGTACATATTAAGATATCTTAAAAGGCAAAACAGACAACCCACTGTAAAAGATGCGTAAGACGAAACGCTTCTAAACGTACCTTTTGATAAGTAAAAATTTTTCTGTCCTCTAAATAACCGCTTTTGGAAGCAATCACCTCTTAGAAAATTTTCTATGTCGGCCATAATGTGTTCTAACTTAATGGAAGATAGATAAATAGAACCGTTGATAAATCGACTAGTTATTACACACCAAGTGGTGACACCATATATCAATACAGAAAATAAACGCTTTAATAAAAGTTAAAACGATCATAATCTAAATAAAAAAGTTCAATCTGTTCCACAAGCGTTTAGTGAAATAAAGAAAATTAACCTTTTCGACTTAGCTCATTTTTTTCATGTGTTATATTGCATGATAAGTGATTTTAGGGTTGTTTTAAAGAACAAAGCGTGGTCTAAAGCTTGATCCAGAGGATTATGGTGTTATCCGCACACATAACACTTCTGTGATAAGTTTTTTTTTTGTTTTCATTGTTGTTTTTTTTTTTCATTGAAAAGCAGTAGACACCAACTATAAGAAATGACATTCACACTCTGACTTATAGAATTAGCTGCTAGCCGAGGAAGGTGCACCACCTCATGTGAAAAGCAGACTAACACTATTGAACGGTATGCAAAACTGAAAAATGTCAGGAAATGGTAGTGATCACTAATTAAAAAAAATCCATTGTCTTTATCTTGGAATCCTTACTTTTATTTGCGTATAACAAAATTTCGAAACCAGTTGAGAGTAAATTTAGATACGCAACATTCCAGAAAATAAGTCCTGCTCTGTCTTCGAGACTCAAAGTTTGTCAAGATGATATCTTGCTCGGTAATCACTTCCCAATTTTTCGCCCTCTGTGGGCTTCTATTCCACTAATCAGAGCAACAAATCACTGTCAGTCATCGGACAAATCATCGTCCGACTAAATTTTCAAATGAAATTGTAATTGCGTTCGGATATATTATATATGATGCAGACTGGACAGATTTGTAAAAACCCATCAGAGACTATCACTTTGAATTAATGTATACGTACAGATTTACATTAAGTACTTATAGAAATTAAAACTCAACACAACTTATTGTCTTTCGAACTAAAACGGTGAAAAAGTCGAACAAATGTGCTTTTCAAAAAGAAAAATCATTTGTAACGTGGCACTGGGTTTTAATTTCTAGAGTAGTGTCTTTTTGTTTGTGATTAATTTGATTTGTTTTTTTTTTGAAAAAGGAACACCTTCCGAGAGGCCAATATTCTAAAGTTCGGTGTACTAATATGTTTTCTGTTTTAGATATTTCTTTTTATTGACTCTTTAGCAACAATATAGGTTTGCTTAGTTCTTCGATTTCGTTAATTCGTTACGACCAACACCTTGATCAGTCGTTGTAAGTATTAGTAGCCAAAAAATTGGACATTCTGGGTCCAATATGAATGTTTATATCAATGAAGCCAACAATTAAATTCTTCTTTACATGTCGGGTAAATTAAATGCCATGGATAATTGCTTTTGAGTATCATCATCTTTTTTAAAGTCCGTGCACTGAAAACACAACCCAGCTGCTTAATTTCAACTTTCAAGCAAAGAAAATTTAACCCTCACTTCTAACCTTCCCTCCTGTCATACGGAACCTTGGTCGACCGTGTCGGTTTTGAGAAGTCAAGTGAACTAATGATTAATTGTTTTCAGTCGAAAGCTGTAATTCGGCAGATAAACTCACGAAAACCAAACTTTAAAGTGTGAGAACTGCATTTTTCTGCTAACTGAACTTAACTGCAGAGTGACGTTTTTAATCAAAAGCCGTAATCCGGCAATAATATCTCAAAAAGGGGGAAAGCAGCTTAATGCTGCTCTCCGCTTGGCAGCTGTTAAGGACAGAATATGAACAAAACTATATCTAAGCCACTCCGAATTCCCTCAGGATTTATAACCTTCTACTTGTAACAAACGATACGAAACGCACGACATGTGCGTGCCATACATCATACCTTACACTTCAGCAATTAAAGAATGTTAACTCTCAATTAATTTTCCGCAGATTGCATTCTTCTTATAAACACAGGTGTGCTCCCTTTGGTTCGGTAGTACTGTTTTCATATTTCAACGCGATAACGGAGTAGTTCAAGGGCCTGAAATAAGCTAAGTCACGAGGCTGACTGAAAAACAAATAAGAATAACACTTACCGGTTCCAAATGAACCCACAACAGCTGAACAGAAGGGAAAAGAAAAGAAACGCGTTTACCGCAACGATCAAACAAGACTCATTACGAAATATAGACCAGGATTTTTAGCAGTGGGTAAAAAAAATACTTCACTTTTACCTGAGGCAAAACTCCATAAGAATAGAAACTTGTTCGCCAGCATGGCTGACGGCCTTATTAGGTCTTATCAGCTCAATGCCACTATGATACTTAAGTTGTACAAGTGAAATCTGTGACCTAATTTTGCAATCGTTGAGCGCTTGAGTTCATACATAATTGAAGTATGCTAAACTCTACATGTTTATTTGTCCGGCATATTTTCTAACCACGGGAAAAAAACGTCATAAAACATAACAGTGGTGAAGGTTAATTATGATCTTTTGTTGAACAAGCTAATCGAAATTCAATTAAAAAGTCGTAGTAGTGTCGGAGGTGAAATGGAGTCAACAGACACTCGGTTCTCTTCCTTTCTATTTTGAGAGAAAAACTAAATTTCTCTTCCATTGGTGAGAGAACTTGACTGTTTTAGAAGAAAACGTTTGTACGCCTATGTTGGTATTTTGCCTACGGCTGAGATTACAAATAACATATTTGTCATAACAAGTTCTTAAAAAAAAAAACAAAGCAAAACAAAACAAAATAAGGAGAAATAATTTTTTGGAAATAACTCTAACTGCTTTGCTGAAAAGTCTATTTATACCTTTTTTTAACGGAATATAAATCGTTCCCTGGGGATGCCAAAACGTGCTGCTGGGTTTGACGTCATCACAGTCAATAGAGGAAAGATTATCAAAAGATTATTAATATACAAAAGTTATATAAGAAACAATTAAATCGATAAGCATGCTTGCCCAAGTGAAAGACCAGGCTATACATGAAAGGATAAGAAAGATTTTTAAAGTTTCCGTAGCAGAATCTAATACACTGGTCGGCGGAGCAATTTTAATTTTGAGACTTCAAAAAGTTTAATTTTACTTATAAACCATTTGTCACTGTTTAATTTTTCGCGATTTTTAAACTAACAAATTTTGCCGAAAATGTAGTCATCATAATAAATCGGAGTAGATTGCTAGAATAGAGACATAGTGGTAGATCATCCATTTTAGTTTTTCTGGGAAGGTCTAGTGTCTAAGTCTTTGGGTGGACAAAAATAACTTATTAATAACTACTCGGCATTATCTTAGCGATTTTCGTTGCTAACTTTATTCTTTTCCTGTCATCCAATCTTCTAAGACAAACTCTTGTCTGATGCTTACTTATGGATATTGTTCTACAACGTTTACTACGATTCTCACGAAACCGGAAAACCAGCCGAGGATGAACAATGTAAATAATGAGAAGTTGAAAGATTCGCTCATCAGTCCGGAATATCCCTAAACGTAAGGACGGTTGAGACGTCATGGAGCTATGACTGTTCTCGCGGAAAATGGCGGATCTAAACGATCACAGTCACCGTTTCGGGGCTCTCAGGCATACTTTAAAGACTTTTCATGAGGCAAACACAATTTTTTTAAGTGGACAGCGTATCGAAAGCCATATTGGAAGTGTGTCGTGAAATATTCAGCACACTTGGTGTCTTAGTTCTTCTTTTAAACAATACGATGTAGGCGAGATTTTGGTCGGTTTTCAAGGTACATGTAGGTGAACAAGTATCTATTATTTTTCGATTCACAGCTTTTTTACGAAGTTCTAGATATTTTTCCTCGATTGTCATATCGATTATTAACTTTTATCGTGTTGAATGCGGGGATGGTAGACAACCTGGAATTTTGGTAGACAATTTTTGAATTCCGAGGTCCAACACACGAACGTGTTCTTCTCCCGGGTTTCACGCAGACATCGCAGAACATTGTTATTACTTTTTTCGCATTAATACAATCCTTTGCCTTTTTTTTCTTTTCAAGGCCAAAACAACTTTATTAGTATTATGGATATTCACGTCCAACATCTCGCCTCACTTTGCCAATTTGCGGGGATAAAATTAAAGATCATATGCGCAAGGTAGATACTAACCCGGCTTCGTTTCTGAATTTCACTAAATCTTGAAAGATTTATTATTGTTGGATTCTCCAAATGTTCATCCACAGTTAAAAAAAGTCAAAGAAAGAAGACAAATTTCAACTGTAAATGATGTATTTCGCTACTCATTGAACATGCACTGATTATCTGGGATAAAATCAAAACATTGCAGGTACGACAGCAAGCAAAGAAAGCACCAGATGCTTGAAGTCAACACGAAATAACGCAAAAAACAAACAAGAAAAATCAATCAATTTGAACTACTTTTAATCCTTGTTATGATGACTGGTTCTTTGATTCTTGTCCTGTAGAAGTTAATAGGAAGTACCATTCCTGTTTTGTAAGATCTCAACAAATTTTCACACACTCTCTACGGCTATAATTTTTGCACATGACCAGTTTGCTTCTATCAAAAATCTTGCAAGCCAAATCAGTGCTGGAGCCACGACCTCTGCGGCTATAATTTTTGCACATGACCAGTTTGCTTCTATCAAAAATCTTGCAAGCCAAATCAGTGCTGGAGCCACGACCTCTGCGACCGGTCCGGAATTAGTTCGAACACCCCAATGATTCCTTGCAATGAATAATACTCTTATTCTTTTCTTTGAAATAATGTGATAACTAGACGAGTACTGTAAGCTTATTTTAAAATTTGTCCGACTCCTTACGCTGTTTTGAAAATTTTTGACCACTGGGTCGATATTTTGATAAACAAAGGCGCGCCTTCTCATTGGTTGAACAGTGTCCCGTGACCGGTTGGCCCTACCCTTAAATTTAGGGATATTCCGGACTACTCATAGACCAATGCATTGCGCTGTATTAATTCACATCTTTGTTTACAACAATTAAGCGTCTATACTGAAACTGTCCAAGGACCGAGTCCACGCGGACTTACAGAGAAGAGAAAAAGGCTGAATTGTTTGGAGAGATATGTGAGCCGTTTTATTGATTTATGTTCAGCTAAACTGTGTTGAATTTAAGGATTGTATTCATTTATTTTTTACGTGAAAATGATTTTTTCCATAGTTCTTTGTCGATGTTCAACATAAATAAATTTTTCATACGGCCCCCTTAGTTTATAATGTCTGAACTATGCTATGTGAAAAAACCCATCAAGGAGCCTTTCACTCAGTAAATCTTGAGGCTGCCTCAGAAAGATTTTGAGGCCGGGCAAAATAAAACCTTGAGAACTTGCCGGTGTAGTCAGAAGACGGTTCCTAACCAGTCTTATCGGGCGGAGAAAGCATCAGTCCAAAATGGAAAATGGAATTCAACAATTGTTTATTAATTATTCGCTCAAAATATTTCCAAATCATGCTTATTTCTATGTAAGATGCCAGTCATTAAAACATTTGTCTTTTCCTATGCAAATTTAGGATATGTATGACACAAAACAGAGCATAAAGCCTCATTCTATTTCAATGGACCAAACGGGATCAAAACCGGTATTCCTCTTTGGCATCTCACTCAATTCGATTTATATTACCCACCTTTTAACCCTTTTCGCAGTATAGGTAATAGCATGATTTCCAGTGATATTTGGCATAAATACCACGAGTGAAAATTGTTGTACGTAATTTCACGAGCTTTTAGAGACCAGTCATAATTTAAGTTGGAGTGGGGGGGAGAAATTGGGGGGCCGTCGATTTGAAAAATTTAAAATGCCAAAAGATGACGTTGGGGGGTCTTCAAGTTTCTTTTAAGTACCATCCCTACTGAGCAGCATGATGCTTGAGTATTAAAGGACCTGATTTAGATTCAGTTTTACGCAAAGTCCTATACTGTGTAATACTAAAAAAATTTAATCAGCATTTTTACAAAAAGATTTAATGCTCAAATAGTAGGTGCATCAACACAACATCCATTATTGTGTAACACTGAAACAATTTCATCGCCATTTTAACAAATGATTACATACATAAAGTCATGTTATACAATCTCACTATCCGAATCATTATTTGTAGATGAGTTTGATGTGGACTCACTGTCTGTGTCACTGTCAAGTTTTTTGCTATTAGAGCATGTACTACTCAGACATATAAAAAGCAGTAAGCTTTGGCTGATTATCTTCTTTCTTCCTCGAAGCGGTCCTGTCGGCCTCTTACCTTTCGATGGCTTGTCTTATCTCAATTATAACACAATCACTGATGTATCCTTGCTCTATAAGCTGTTTGAGAGGCTCTAGCTGAAATCTCTTTCTCAGTTTAGTGTGAAGTGCTTCTCTGTTGTTAGTTAGCACATTCGGAAGTGACAGTGAGTAAGAACGGTAAAGTAAAGAAAATGTTATTTGTTATTACCATTTGGGTATTATGTAAGAAAAGGGGGCCCTTAAATCTTTTAACATGATTGAAGAGGGGTACCTAAAAAACATGGGTGCTATTAGTAGGGGTCTGGAAATAATTTGGGATAAAAAACAATTTTCCTCCTCCCCCTCCAACTTAAATTATGACTGGTCCCTTAGGCGAGTGAAATTTGAGACAATTTTGAAATATCACTCGTGGTATTTATGCCAAATACTTAGCCTACTACCAACAAAAGGTTTGTAATTTTCACATGTCGGTATTTCAAATTAAGCTGAAATACCACTGCTCTAAACCAATCAAATTGCAGAAATGTCTCATGTAGTAGTATAATAAAGGTAATCCAAGATAGTCTTAAATTTAAGATTCCACGCTGTGGATTACGAATTACAGGTTGTAGATTCCGGATTCTTTTTCAGTAGAACGTGGATTCCGGATTTCAATCGTTAGCGGAATTCCGGATCCCTTGAACTGAATTCCCGTTTTCGAAGCCCTGGCCTTTCGGAATACGGAATATCTGTCGTGGAGCAAGCCCTTCCACGCCGAATGTGCGAGTCATCGTGCACTAAAGCGAAAGTACGCAACCTTACTGTGCAAAATTAACGATAGTAATCTGTTATCATGCATTTGTTAATGAAACGCGCTTCTACTGAAGACTTTTCGAAGGAAAAGACAAAGCAAAACAAAAGACTATTTTACATGTCTGTCCTAAAAATCGATTAATTACTCTTTTAAAGAGAAGTTGCATTACGTTTAGGCCACCATAATTATCTCATTCAATTTCAAAGTATATTTGGTGAATTCGAATTTGTTTAATGGGAGATAATTGCCTTGAACTGCACCTCTAACCACCCCCTGCTAAGA